GACAAAACCTTTTCAAGGATAATGTTTATGTTGGTTTTAATCCCATCCCATCTGAAGGATTTTATATATAGGACAAGAACAGCTCAAGAGCAGTCCCCTGTTTCCAGAGCCCACAACTCTGTAAGCAGCACCATGCTCTCTGACACACCCAGACTGCAGAAGGGATATTTATTGCAACAATATGTATAATACTACAAATGACTGAAGAAATCTAAATGCCAATAAACCAATGGTCCAGAGGGTAACCCCCAAGCCTATAGTGAAGATGATCCTGCCAAAAGGAAAATGCTAAGATAATAGTTCGGCAGTCTCTGTCAAACCCTTTCCCTACTGGTCAGTACGTTGGGGCCCAAATCTGGTGCTGGAGTGCTCAAAGTTCCTCCGAACCCTGTTGTAGGTGCCTGCACTGTGTCCCAAGTGATGTAGTGGGGTTTGGCCAGCAGCCTTTCACCAACTCCAGGGGCAGCAGCTGGTCTCCCTCAGTCTTTTTTTGATGTCTCATCTGGTTCAATGGCAGCAGTGTTTTCCCCAGCAATCAGGCTGCAATACCAGTCAGCCACAGTTCTCATGTACCAGAAGATGTCCACTACTCTATCTATCTGCATCCCTGATGGGTGACAAAACATTCTGCTAACAGCTGCAGCACAGTTTGTCTCTGACAATGTCCACAGTACATCTGCCTTTAGCTCAGGAACAGACTTTCCTTTTACTCTCCACAGAGCCCGTCATGCTGGGATGTGTAGTTCCATTGCCAGTCTAATACATAGGCTCAGTCTGCCTGGGGACTACAGTCTCAGTTCCTTCCTGCAGGCTTTTGTTGTCCAAGGATGCACAGCAGTCTATATCCACTTCTTCTGTGTTCTCCTTTGGCCAATCACAATCCACCCTGCATATCGGTTCACCTAAAATGGCTGCCCCAGGATTGAAAACACTTCATACCTTAGCATTATTCATGCCTATTCACTTTTCCAAAATGTTCACTTCAGCTCAGCATTGCAGGCAGTTCATTTAACCCTTCGTGTGTCACAAATAAGGAACAAAGCTTCCAAACAGGAAAAAGCATTTGTAACCACAAGCAAACCTGGCTACACCTAAAATTACAATAATGCATTTGAATAAGAAAACAGAACTGCATTTTGTGGTTTGAAATTGATCTTGTTTTATTTTTGAAGTTCTTTGAAACAGGAGGATGCTTGCGTCAATGGCCCAACTAAAGACATGGCTGAAATTAAAATGACTTTAAAGGTTAGTACCATTTAAACTCCAAACAATTCTCATTTGAGGATCATTACTGAGAAAGTTGTAACTGATTGTGATAAGAACTTAGGTCTCCACTACTAAGTTAAATTTCAGGTGGTACAAAAATATGCTGTATATTTTTACCGGGTGATATGCAATTTTTCGGTATTAATTGCAATTTTTTTACCTGTTTTGTGCTGGATAAAGGTGACTTCCGAAGAGGTGTAAAGGCTCCCTGTATGGATTGGGGTTATGGCCATTGTTGGTTAAAATGTCATAGTGTCTACTTGCAAACTTGTCGGCCACTACACATAGAAGTAGTTGAGCTTCATGTATTGATACAACCCCAAAACTTTGCAGAATTTCTTTTTTTTTTCCAAACTGGTGATTTCATGACCAACCAGACTCAGGCATATAGCTTTTCTAGGGCTGCTGCCTGGACAAGCTAAGTGGGCTGCACCACAACATTAGTGCAGCTCATATCTTATTGAAATTAATCATGTAGTTTATGAGTGTGGCTAAATATTAACAGTGACAACCTGGGAAAAATCAATACTATACACCCTGTTCCAAATTATTATGCAAATTATATTTTTCTCATTTACCTAAATAATTGATGTAAATAACAGTCAGCATAATTCTCATGTTATCAACTATTAAGAGTACAATTCAAATTTTATTGAACAAACCTTCTAATGATAACAGTATTTTTTTTAAACATAAAAAACATACAATGCACTGTTCCAAATTATTACGCACAGTAAGTTTCAAAGCACTTTATAGGTTGTAAAGAACTGAAAATTGTCATTTGTTGTGTTTGCAGCATATTTACTGAAATCAAAAGCTGTTTCAATCAAACTTTTAACAACTTTTTTAACTTTTTAAACATTTTAACAGGTCACGTTACATTGTAACATAGGACCACTTATTTGATAGCAGCTTCACAAGTCTTGCATCCATTGAACTTGTGAGTTTTTGGACGGTTTTCTGCTTGAATTTGTTTGCAAGATGTCAGAATAGCCTCCCAGAGCTGTTGTTTGGCTGTAAACTGCCTCCCACCCTCATAGATCTTTTGCTTGAGGATGCTCCAAAAGTTCTCAATAGGATTGAGGTCAGGGGAGGATGGAGGCCACACCATGACTTTCTCTCCTTTTATCCCCATAGCAGCCATTGATGCAGAGGTATTCTTTGCAGCATGAGATGGTGCATTGTGATGCATGAAGATGATTTTATTACGGAAAGCATAGTTCTTCCTTCTGTACCAGGGAAGAAAGTGGTCAGTCATAAACTCCACATACTTTGCAGAAGTCATCTTTACACCTTTGGGGACCCTAAAGGGGCCGACCAGCTCTGTTCCCATGATTTTGGCCCAAAAACATGACTCCACCACCACCTTGCTGACGTCGCAGCCTTGTTGGAACAGGGTGGCTGTCCACCAACTATCCACCACTCCATCCATCTGGACCATCCAGGGTTGCTCCAGAGGCACCAGCAACTTCAAATATCTGTTTGCTGCTATGTAATGGTATTTTAGCAGCTGCTCTCTTGATCCAATGCATGGATCTGGCAGAAATCTTCTTTAATGTGCCTTTATCTGCACAAACCCGTCTGGACCATCCAGGGTTGCACGGCACTCATCAGTGAACAGGACTGTTTGAAAATTAGTCTTCATGTATTTTTCTGCCCAATGCAGCCGTCTCTGCTTGTGAGCATTGGTTAGTGGTGGCCAAATAGAAGGTTTATGCACAGTTGCAAGACTCTGGAGGACTCTACACCTTGATGTCCGTGGGACTCCAGAGGCACCAGCAGCTTCAAATATAAATTTGCTGCTATGTAATGGTATTTTAGCAGCTGCTCTCTAGATCTGAAGCATGGATCAGGCAGAAATCTTCTTCAATGTGCCTTTATCTGCACGAACCCGTCTGTGCTCTGAATCAGCCACAAATCTCTTAATAGTGCGATGATCACGCTTAATTTTTCGTGAAATATCTAATGTTTTCATACCTCATCCAAGGCATTGAACTATTTCACTCTTTTCGGCAGCAGAGAGATCCTTTTTCTTCCCCATATTGCTTGAAAATGGTGCTCTGCTTAATAATGTGGAACACCATCCTTTAGTAGTTTTTCCTTAAATTGGGCTCACCTGCCAATCTAATTATCACAGGTGTCCGAGATTGTTTTCAGTGATCAAAAGAGCCCTGACACACAATGCCATCCATGAGTTAAACTGAAAAACAAAATATTTAATCGTTGTGACACTTAAATAGAATTTGCATAATAATTTGGAACAGGGTGTAGTTATGTATATTTACTACCATATACAACTCTGTGCCAATAAATTAAAGCTTAATTCCAGGCAGATATATAAATAACACCATTGAATAAAGTTGTGTATTCCTTTGCAAAAAATACATTTAATTTAACATGAAACTAGCATAAATATCTGCATCTATATTGATACAAGCCTTTATTATCCCTTTAATAGCAGTATTTAGACTGGGAAACGTTGGATCTGCATTAAGAGCTAATCAGGCTCTGATTAATGCAAAGCTAATGACTTATCAATGCACTGCTACTCCTGCATTGTAAGATCTGAATGCTGGGGGCGGCAATAATATTTGCTAAAAAATGTAAGCATTAACAATATATTGACAGTACTAATCTACAACTATATAATTTGTGTTACCAATTTTCTACCTTATTTCTACTCTTCTGGATACTTGGATACAATTCTCTGTGGTGGGTGTGATATGGAGCCATAAATCATGAATGTAAATGTCTGCATACATCAGTGTTTCTCAACTCCAGTCCTCATGAACCCCCAACAGGTCATGTTTTCAGGATTTCCCTCAGATGAAACAGCTGTGGTAATTACTAAGGCAGTGAAACTGATCAAATCACCTGTGCAAAGTAATGGAAATCCTGAAAACATGACCTGTTGGGGGTCCATGAGGACTGGAGTTGAGAAACACTGGCATACATGAATGTGCATGTAGATTTAATGCATGAAGTATATTCTAAGACAAACCTGGGTTCAGCTAAAAGAAGTCTTTAGATCCTTAGTTGATTAACGGGTTAGACTTTGCAGGGGGTGCTGAAGTGATGATAATGAGTACTTCCAGCAAGGGGTTTGATTAACCAAAGCTAAATTGACTGTGCACTTGGCAAGTGCAGTTGCACACATTTTATCCAGAGCTTAGTGAATGAGGAGAAGCTCAACTTTGTAAAGAATACCCAGTCAGTTGATAGGAAATTTAATTTTTTTCTTCACATGATTGGATGATGGAAATCAGTAAAGCTTCATTTTATTCACTAATTTCTGGGGAAATATGAGTGCACAGTCTAGTAATCCAATAACTTTGACTTACAATATGAACAGTTGCCCAGGTAGCATGATATAAGACATCACTAGGCAACCTGCAGACCTTCAGGTTTTGAAGAACTGAAAGGCTAAGCATGTGCAATCAGTGGACATGATGAGTACTGTAGATATTTAGCAGTTGAAGGACTAACTAGAGTTTGAAAAAAAGTGGAGGTATTTTTCGAGCAGTCAAATCTTTTCTTTCAATGACAGCTGTAACCAAACAGTTGCTGTAAGCAATACACCCCGATTTACATTAGTTCACTTTTACAGAATAAGTCTATATGTGTTTTTACTGAGTTTAAGAGACTGTCCCAGACTCTTTCTCATTAATCTTTTTCAGAAAGATGTTCCCGAAAATCATAGAAATTCGTGTAAAAAAGAAAGATACCAAAGGTACATGAAGCTAAAAAACTATGAAAATGGAACAATTCTACAAGATACTTTACACCTCAAAGCAAAACAGGTTTGTGGTATCTTTATATTTAAAAAATGTGTAATAGGATGGTGTTATTATGGCTAAAATCATTTTACTCCTTATCAAAATACATCCGCATGGTATTCCTGGCAATGATTTTCTAATGCTCCAGCAGTTTTGGTATTTGAGATTTTGTCCTTTGATATTTTAGTCAATTAATTAATGAAAAGCTGTGATTTAGTAAGAGTCCCATTTAAGCTGGATGATCTATTATGCAATATTCTATCAAACTAAATCAGTATCGCCATGTGTAATGAAGGCAATGGGGCTGATTTACTAAAGGCACGTAGGATGTTAACTTTGCAAGGGAATGTATCCTTTAGCTTAGTAAATGTGATGAAAATTCACTCATTTCTTTTATACCTACATTTAAGCTTATAATAAAGCTTATCTGTAAGTAAAATGAATATCTCCTAAACATGCACCGTTTAGAAGATATTCTACAGAGCTGCAGCCAGTGACATCGCCGGCGCATGCACTCTGAAGGAACGGCATACCCATGCTGTTCCTTCAGAGCTATGTGCCGTGGCCGAAACTCCCACGCAAAATGCACGGAAGTGACGTCATCAACGGCTCAACCACTCAAGGAGCTGCAGCCCAGAGAACCGGAAAGAAGACCAGGTGAAGATGGAAGCCCTGTCATTGTAGGGCTTCATTTTAAGGTAATTTTCAGATAATGCGCTAGTACACAATGCATACTAGCACATTATGATATTACTTTGCAGGGGATTTTTTTTTTTCAAACACGTTTACTACCACTTTAAAGTGGTTCTAAAGGCTGAAAGTTTGCAGTCCAGTGTGCAGCTCCCCCCTGAGCCCCGCCTCCCTTCCTTATACTCACCTGAGCCCAATCCAGCAGTGTGCAGAAGCTCTCCCAGGGCTGCCTCCTTGTTGGCTGAGACAAAGCAGTGGGAGCCATTGGCTGTCAATCACAGTGAGGAGTGATCAGACCAAGACACACAGAGGCTGCTCAGGAGCAAGCACGCACAAGTGCCCCATTTGTTTGAGTATCAAAAAAATGTTTTCTGATTGCTCAATAAAGTCTTGTAACAGCTGTTATTTCCTGAGTGTATCTGTTATTGCATACAGTCTATTATCTGGCCTTGCAGTTTACAGCATTATATGTATTTGGACAATGTCAAGACATTGATACACAGAGACTGAATGAGTATAAGCTTGTAGCATGGGGTTACTTTCTGTAGAGCAGTTACCCCTTGGGGCACAGATTACCAGTCCTATGTAGTCTGAGCTCTGCCTACTGGACACCAGGCTGTGCCTTCCACAAAGCTCACTTGGGAACTTCAACCCCAGGACTTCACAGCTTCTTAGCAATAGTTATCTGGGGCTCCAATGTTACATGACACAGGGACCCAGAATTATAATTCAGCTATCACCCGGAGGCAGCAACAGTGGATGTGAAGAACATCACCCATACCATTGTCCCTCTGGGAACACCGGGCAGCAACATACTTGACAGAGCCAGGAAAACCAGTGCCACTACAGAGCCCAAAGACTCTTTAATAGAGTTTGTCTTCTCTAATTTATGCACAAGTTCTTCTAGCAAGATAATTCCCTCAAGCAAATAAATGAATGGTCAGATGACATTTCCATTCATTATCCTAGATTTTAAGCTCGAAAGAGCAGGGTCCTCGAACCCCTCGTGTATTGTATTGTTTCTGTCTTGTCTCATGTTCTGTCCCCCTTGCTATTGTACAGCGCTGTGCAAACCCTTTGGCGCTATATAAATACTGTATAATAATAATAATCAAAGTTACAAAATCCAATTTAGACAATGGTAGCTGTTTCTCTGCAGTCATACACTTTGACTCTTTCAAAGTAGCACTACTGCAAACAGGGATATCACAAAGTTCAAATAGACATCACATAACAGTCTTCTCCACAAAATTGGCAAATGTTCTTCTTCCCTCAAATTTCCCCCAGGGAGCAGTCCCAATGCTTTCCCTGAAGGGGACCACACAGTCCAGTACTCTAGGCCACTGACATATTGGCTTTCTATGTGCTCCCTGTATAAGGCGAGTTCTCTCCAACATTTTTTCCACACCGAGCAACAACCTGACTCCACCCACCAATCCTTCAAATCTAACTAATAAACATGTGAGATTGACATGGAACACTGCTCAGCTACTATCTGGGTGGGACCTAAAAGGTCAAATGTTCAAAATGTTCATCTAGTTTGAAAATAAGTAATAAGTGGGTATTTAACCTCCCTAGCGGTATTCCCGAGTGTAGCTCGGGGTAAAATGTCAGTAACAAAAGCGGTAACCCCGAGCTACACTCGGGCTTACCATGCGGCGTTGCTCAGGGAGTCCCTGCAGAGCTTACCTTGTCCTTCGCTCCCGCGATGTGTCCCCTGCAGCGTCCCCGGCCATCTCCTCCGGCTGATGCCGGCATCCGGCTTCTGTGTTCCGGCCCCTGTGACGTCGGGACGTACGGGCGGCAGCGGCGGCAGGAAATTTGAAAATTTAAAAAGTCATTTTTTTTTCAAAACGAATTTTACATATTAAAACATTGCTGTTTCAATCCATTTCACATACATTTTGTCCCTAGTGCTTTGTCCTGTCCCCTGTCTGCATTTTGACTGTTCTTTCTGCCTGGAAACTTAGAAAAGTCCATGGCGTCCAAAAAGCGTCCCTTTAGGTCAAAAGCGGTTTTAGACCAGCTAGAGAACAGCGATAGTAAATCAGAACCACTTGTAGAATTGAGTGATAATGATTCGTGGGGAAATTTGTCATCAGACACTGAAAACAATTTTGCAACTTTGCTCAGTGATGTGCGAACTTGGCGCTATATTTCAAATTTCAGTGTTTTTGGTTTGATTATATTATTGAATTAAATGTATTATTATTATATTATTATTTTTTATGAATATTTATTAAATTATAATTTATGATTTTGTGTTTCAAATTTTATCATACCTGGGATGTTTACTAGACTCTTTTTCGGACAGATTTCAGTGAGTTATTCCTAAATATTACAGCCTACAATTAAAAAACTACATATTTCCATGCAAAATAATGGTACCGCTTTCAGCACAAAATCTGAAATAATCATACCGCTAGGGAGGTTAAAGTGAACACAACTTCACAGTATTTATTAAACTAAGTGAGTGTTCACTTTGCTAACTGAACACGCTCTATTCCTTTAGTAATTCAACTCCATCGCTTATGAGTTTTATGAAAACTGTGTTTTGTATTAGCTGCTTTATATACTCAAATAATGTAAAAGTGTTAACTGGTTATATTTAGGGATTTCAGTGGCTTCCTTATAAATACAATTATTTAATTTTTTTTTATATTGAAGTTCCTTAATGTGTAATTAAAGGCAATTTTTTAAAGTTTTCCATAGAGTGCGGAAGAGTTAGACCTCTGTCAAGTTTTCATTGCTGTGTTCTCAGAGAGAAGATTCACCTCTCTATTTGTCATGGTGACCATGGTAACCTAAACAGAAAGTATGGGGAAAGCCAAACATTTTGAGTTGTCACCAAAGCAAGGGGTGGGAGAAAATCTGTCATGTATCTGTGACAACTCAGTAAAGTGGGAATTCCAAATTTCCTCTAATTTCCTCTTGCATCTCCAGAACAGGAGGTGAAGGTAAATCTCCATAGTTGGACACAGGTAGCAAAACTTCCCTGATAGGGGTTCTAACCCTTACATGCTCTATCTAAAACTAAAAAAAAGTGTGGGCTTTATGTTGACTTAAGGTTTAATTTTAAAAAACCCAAAAAAACAAAGAAAAACATGTTTAATCACCATACTATTATCAAGGTATCCTGATATTGTCGGTTTAACCTTCCTTGTGAAAATAGCTTTATGTCAAGTCCTTTCTTCTTTATATCAGGCTGATTTGCATTGCATTGTCTTAACAAGGTCATAGTTCTTTCAGTCTTGCATACTTACACTATGCTTCCATTTACTTTACAGAAACTTGGATGCCAATCATCAATTTGTCATGGATCAATAATGAACCCTCAGTGTTATATAAGAGGTCCAAGAGACAAACCAGTGTCACAAGATGTAATCTTACCTCAAGCAATAGAATTTCTAAACCAATATTACAATTCTTTCAAAGAGTAAGTCAAGCTGACATCAAAAAAGGTATTTAATTGCCAGCATAAAAACAGTTCTAGTGGAAGAGGAAAAACAAGGTACTCTTCTTAAGGATTATATGAATGAAGTAGGTGTGTATTATATCTCGTCCAATTCCTGAGTGCCAGCAGTAAACTGCTGCAGAATATTTTACAGAACTAAGTTAGCAACAGGACAACAGACTTACTGCAGAGGTCATACACATACTTATTTTCAAGTACCTATGTAGGACCATTGATTTATGGTGCGCTTTACTTATTTTGTACACACTCACATTAGTCCGTGTCCTCAAGGAGCTTACAATCTAAGGTCCCTTACTCACATTCATACATAGCTGAGCCAGTGTAGACAGGAGCCAGTTAACCTACCAGCATGGGAGTTGCGAGGAAACCCATGCAGACACAGTGAGAACATGCAAACTCCTTTCAGGTAGTCAAGATGGTGACTGAGATCCCCCTGCGCTAAGATGGAACCTAATTTCTATATGCTGCTAACACCCTATCCTCTACCTATAAGTGGACAAATATAAGTGATAAAATATAATAGTGGTGTAGCACTGATAACTAAATGTGCAAACTCCACAATAATAAGATAAAAATCATAAATCACATCAATGAATGAATATAAATATATAAGTGATAGATCTTTCAAGATCTAGAAAAACAGTGTCTCAAACTGTGATATTATCAGTACACAAAGTGCATAAGATGAACTTGGTCCTATGCCCGGACCCTCATACAGTGACAGTACCCAGTCCCACTTGGGACCAAACCCCAAAAGACTAGATTCTATATACAGTGGATCCCAAAATAAGGGATATGATCACAAACAAAGTGAATGATATATAAAGTGTATCCCAAAATTGTGATAAAAACAAAATAAAGTGACTAGTGAATAATGTTAAACACAATATATAAACATAAACTTCATAAACGCATAAAACGATAAAAAGTGTCTAACAAATTGCCAAGAATAGCAAAGATGGCAATTACTGCCAAAATGTGCCTATATCTTCAAACCACGTGCTATAGTGCTGGTGCAGATGGTGAGCATATCCATCCGCCGATTTTGGACGCTATCCTGAGGAAGTGTACGTGACGCAACGCGTAGATACGTTGTGGTGACACACTTCCGGCGGAGCGCTATCTTGCTACACCAGGTTTACACAGTACACCCATACTGAGTGGTGTGACAAGCCTTGTTTGATCTGCGTTAATAGTGATTTATATTGGAAGGAAGTTACCAGTGAGGTTCAGTGGAATCAGAGCAACCTGGAGAGTTGGTACCTGTAGAATCCAGAGTGATCCAAAAGGCGTGTTGACCCTTTTCGGTTGCAGCAAGGAGGTGAGGGGGTATGCCTGCCATCTAAGGATATATGCTCACCATCTGCACCAGCACTATAGCACGTGGTTTGAAGATATAGGCACATTTTGGCAGTAATTGCCATCTTTGCTATTCTTGGCAATAATTGGCTGTAAAATTGTATAATGGTCCTACTGTCTACTGAAAATGTATTATATTGTAGAACCATATTTGTAGACTGGCCAGTAGGGAAGTTTTAAAAGTACAAATTATTTCAGTTTAGTGGGACATAAAAAAAATACCGGATATAATACAGCAACATGGTATGTACTTTGCTTTAAAAACTCATAAACATTTTTTTTTCAGGCTAGAGATAGAAAATTACCTGAACAGGCTAGAAACCATTACCAAAGATATTGAACTAACTGGAACTTACCAATTAACTATGGATGAGCTTGTCTTTGCTGCTAAACAGGCATGGAGAAATGCTCCCAGGTGCATAGGCCGGATTCAATGGAACAATTTACAGGTAACAGATGTTCAGTAACGTATAAGTAATATTCTTATGAGTTCATACTACTTCAGTGTTTACCAGTCTAAACTGTTAACCCTTTCGCTGCCATACAGAACTGCTTCCAGCTGGCCATGTCAGTACTGATGTGGAATTCCTCCTTTTGTTATAAGCTCACAGTCACTTCAGTGAGCATGACCCTATAGCCAAAGTTTTCAGCAGGCCCTGCTGAACAAACTAATAGCTGTGATCAAGGCTATTCACAACAGCCTTGTACCATGTGACACCCCCCCCCCCCCAACACTGCTGCTCTGCCCTGGTCTCCCATGGTGTTGCTGGCCTTTGCTCCTTTCCTCTCCCCTCCCTCCAGACTTGGGTGCTGTAGGAGAGCCACAGGGGATTTAACTCTGCAACCAGATCCCCCAGCTGCTGTGATATCCCACCCCTGTATTGGCCCCACCCTCACTCATCCCCTGTGCCCCTTCTCTGTAGTGCTGCTGACTGGCTTCCTTCCTCCCCCTCCTGCTGGCTTCAGCTACAGCAGGTGAGCCTCAGGGGACATAAAATGTGCCAAATATATTCCCCCTTGGTTCTCCAACCTGAAGTGCACCCCTTCCAGCAGCATCAATCCCCTGCGCCACCCCAATCCCTGCAGCAGTGCTGGCCAGCTTCCCTTTCTCCCTCTCCCACCTTCTGCAGCTGCTGCTGAGGTGGGAAATCGATATCAGGGTGGAGAGCGGGGGGAGGGCTAGTAAACATGTAATGTTTACCAACCCCTTCCTGAATGAACACAGTGAGTGATTGGTGCTGATCACTCCTATGTAAATTCATTACTGAATCATAGTAAACTTTTAGTTTTTAGTTTAGTGTAAAATGATTTTAGTTTATTTTTACTGAAAATGGTGATTGAAAAACATTTTCGTAAAAATTTTACGGGGCCTAAAAAATCAGTAGCAAATTTTGTTATTCTACGGGTCATGTGCTTTCAGAAAATGTATGGTTTGGGGGGTCTTTTACAAAATCAGCTATCAGTAAATGAAAAATTATAACTTCCAGATTTTTAAAATAAATTGCTTATTTACAGTTTTGAGTAAATTTGATTTTCACCATTTGTAAAAAAAAGGCGCAAGTTAAGATTTACTTAGGGCGTTTACAAATATTTGTTATTAAGTAACTCAATACAGTTTTAGATTTTCTATTTTCTATTTAGGCAGAATTGTGTATTTTTTATTGTGTTTGTGTCCAATAATAATAATTTTTGTGTATGTATAGTAAAGTTATTGTTTTGATTAATATTTGTGCAAATATCACAGGGCCAAACAAAAAAAAAAATCAGTAGCACCTTGTATTTATTGTACTGGTCCTGTGCTTTCAGAAAATATATGGTTTGGGGGTCTTTAACCACCTCCCATCCGGCCGTTGTATACAAATGTCCAGATGGTGGCAGTGCAGGGTCGGGTGGCCGTTTATAAATGGCCCTCCCCGCACCCTGCTTGTCCGTGATCCGGTGCCTGCTGTGTCCTCCGGACACAGTGGAACACCGATCGTCGGACGGGACCTCTGTACGAGGTCCTGATCATGTGATCGCTGATTGGCCAATCAGTGATCACATGCAGAGTAGTAAGCAAGATGTCACTTGTGACATCATTGCTTGCTACGTGTGAAATTTGTGAATGATCACAGAGGTCACATGGTACAAGGCTATTCACAACAGCCTTGTACCATGTGACAAGCTGTGACCAATCACAGATCACTCGGTAGTTCTCAATGGCTGCAAGAATGCAGCTAGAGAGGAGAAATGATTGCTTTTACATCCTTTATGGGTGTAAAAGCAATCAGTGTAAAAAAAAAAAAAAAATCTTCATCACCCCCCACAAGTAGTACAGTGTCACCATGTTGACACTGTACTGCTAGGGTGACAGTATGTAAAAAGAAAATAATAAATAAAAAATAATATAAAAAAAATAAAAAAATGTTTAAAAAGTATAATTTTTGGTTTATAAACTAATTTGGGTTATTTTTTTCTAACTAAATATATAACGGAATACATTTTGGCCAAGATTTATGATGATACTATTTATTTGCAAAATTTTATAAGAAAAACACTTTTTAAAAAATTTTTTGGACATTTTAATTTACATAGCAAAAATAATAAAAATCCCAGTGGTGAATAAATACCACCAAAATAAAGCTTTATCTGTCTAAAAAAAATGCTAAAAAATTCATATGGGTACAGTGTTGCATGACCGCGCAATTGTCATTCAAAGTGTGACAGCGCTGAAAGCTGACAATTGGCCTGGACAGGAAGGGGGTAAAAGTGTCCGGACTGGAAGTGGTTAATAAACTATGAAAGCTGAAAGTGAAAACTTAAAAAACTGGAAAAATTGCAAAAATAGTCTGGCCACCTAAGTTTTAAATGTGGAGCACAGGGTCTGGCAGTGAAATGTCGGTGCTACAATGACAATGTATTTGAACAAATTGCTTATTTGCATTGTTTTCTTTTTTATTTAAAAGTGTTACTGGGGGATATTATTTATTTATTTCAGGTACTTATATAGCACCGTCAATTTATGCAGCGCTTTACATATATATTGTACATTCACATCAGTCCCTTACCCTCAAGGAGTGTACAATCTAAGGTCCCTAACTTACATTCATACATAATCATATTAGGGCCAATTTAGACAGGAGCCAATTAACCTACCAGCATGTCTTTGGAGTGTGGGAGGAAACAGGAGTACCCGGAGGAAACCCACGCAGGCACAGGGAGAACATGCAAACTCCAGGCAGGTGGTGCAGTGGCTGGGATTCAAACCAATGACCCTAGTACTGCCAGGCAGAAGTGCTAACCATTTAGCTACTGTGCTGCCCATAGGCAATCCAACTGCTATAGATGTGAAGTGCAGACACAGAGAAACCTGCACTTATCTGAAGCAGCCTTCAAAATGTTTTAGTAGTGCTCGATTCTCAGGCTGTTCCAATAGCTTGCTCGCCCCTTACCACCTCCTGCACATTCTTATTGATAAGGAGCCTGTCCATCATAGTTATGAGCAAAAGGAATGTGTATGGGTGGAGCTTAGCAGCAAATTCTGACATTACTTTGATGTGTTAGAGCTTTACCTGTCAAAATGCCAGCATTTACCCATGACAGGAAGGAATCTGCACTTTAAGCTTGTAGCAGTTTGGCTCCCTCCCTCCTGTGACTGATTCTCTTTAAAGAGACCCTGTCACCAGACCATTCTTTTTAACAACAATCTTTGGATAAGATTTTATGTACATTTATTATGTTTGAAGCATGTTATTTACCTGTAAAAGCCTCCCTTGTGTAGACAACCAAAATCCCTGAGGCCGCTGCTGGGAGCTGTTATTTTGGATATGATATCAGTTCTTTGACAATTGATATCACTCAATTGACACTCTATAGAAGCTTTCTCAACCTTTTCAATACAGAAGAACCCTTGAAATAACTATCCTGTATTAGGGAACCCTGCTATAAAATACTATATCTTTATCATCATATCCTTTGTGGCACAGAAGACTGTTCTACATAAGTGAATCTACACAGCACCACCTGCTATTTCTTTAATTATAGCTAAATTATTCTATGTTTTTCACATAGAATGGGTGGAGGCCTCCCTGAATATGGAAATATGGGTTCAAAATGTCTTTACATTTGGGAAATCTTTCATTCGCTGTGTGAAAAAACCTTGCCCATAAAAATTCTGTGTTGAAAACAATCTACATTGCAATGTTTTCAACATACTCTATAGTATCTACGCAGACTCCTAGCCAATGTCTAATTGACATTCCATGCCTCTTGTAAATTGAATTACACATGTTAATCTAAAATTTGAGGCCTCCCCCTTTTCCTTTTGCTTGCTACTTACTAGTCTGACCACCGTTCACTCAAATATATCTTAATGTACACCACTAGACCCAGCACTGCTAGATCTCTCTCAATTTATACTAACATACTGTATATTGTCTTTCTTACTTTAACTTGTCGGCCAAATGGTGCGACCATTGTTCTTGTTAATTGCATTCTCATAATGAAATGTAATTTTTTTTTAAATTACTATGTCTGTATCATGATAAATTAGTGTGATGGTCAGTGGGAAGAATGCTCTTTACACTTGTTGCGTTCATTGGGAAAAATGACCTCCTTATAGATAGCTAAAAAGATCAGTGGTGTCAGTGGGAATGTATATGAGAGGCAGAAACTGCTCATTGCTCAAGGAACACCTAGCAACCTCTGAAGGAACCCTAAGAATTAGTGGAACCCTGGCTGAGAAACCATTCTATAGTAGTCCTCTTCACTCCTGGCTGTAACATAATAGGTTATTTCATAATTTGGTTGGGACAGGAGTAGGGGCGGACTGACAACTCATGGGGGCCCCCGGGCAATAGGGGATCATGGGGCCCGTGTGTCCTTGCCCACACTCAAAAAAGCCTATAAAAAAGGTACCAGGGGCATTTCATGGGGCCCCCTACTAACCCCGGGCCCTCGGGCAGTGCCTGAGTGCTCGAATGGTCAGTCCGCCCCTGGACAGGAGACAATTTATGTATATGGGGCAGTACACAGCAATCTTGAATAATTGAGCATAGGGAACAAAACACTTGGTTAAAGCTTGACTAATAACTAGTGTTTTCCCTGAGACACAACGCTGGTACAAGACTCACTGCCATGTTCTATCACCCAAGCTGGGTAGGTTCATAATACTAAAGCTTTAATGTTGGGGCAGAAATAGGTCTCAAAGACATCATAGAGATTCAAATTCTGGAAACGTATTCATGTGTGAATTAAAAAGGTTCTTCAATAACTATAAGTCTTAAGAATTATGTGCCAAAATATTGACAGAGAAAAAAGCGGTATCTTCGCTTTAAGGCTCCATGCACACTAGTATTTATTTAAGCTCAAACAACGCTGGAGAAAACGCTGGAGAAAAAACACTGGTAATAGAGTTTTTAGTAGCATTTTAGTAGCATTTAGGAGCATTAGCATTTTAGTAGCATTTTACGGTAGATGTAGAAAAAAGCTGTTAGGAATGTTTCAGGTTTCAGTGTTTAGGAACATTCATCGTTTTTTTCTGCTGAGAAAATGATCACAAAAAATCTACAAAAACAATTATTTTTTCTGCTCCTTAACTGAAACTCGAAAAATGCTGCTAGCCTAAAATAGACACATAGCCTAAAAAAACCCTATTTAACTTCCAGAAGCATGAAAAAAATGCTGATAACAGCTTCTAGGAGCTTAATAAACACTAGTGTGCATGGAGGCTTATATTATAAGCAAATGTGTCTGATGAGCTGTGTAACATGAAATATTGCAGGTATCGCTATTTTTATTAGAGGCACAATTATCGACTTTTATCACTGGTAATTTAAATTCAGATGTTTCAGTTTCAGAGCTTCATAAACAGCAAAACAACACTATGACAAAATAAAGTATATAAGGTGTGTAATGTACAATGTTCCTGAATGTACAGTAAACATGTAATTTAGTATATCAGTAGTATAAAACAGTATTGTGGAAAGTAACATTAACCACGCTTAATGGTAGTGCTAGTATAGAAACATAGATATATACATATAAGGGCCGGTTCACACTGCATGCATTTCAGTGTGCTTTTTTTATGCACATTTTAGTGCCCAATTCATGCATCCAAAATGCACAGAAAGTAGTTATATGGTTGCCATTGTCATAGTTCACATCAGCGCTTGCAGTTTCAGTGCGTTCCGGTTGCAGAAAAAAAGTAGAACAGGCTGCATTTTTCCTGCAGAGAACTGTACTGGAACGCGATAAAAACACATCAAAAAAGCACCGGAATGCATCAAAATGCACTGGAATGCACATGCCCCTATTTAAATTGAAGAAAAAGAGGGGAAAAATTAACCGTAACGCATCAAAAACACACTGGAATGCGTCAAAATTCATTACAAACGCACCGGAACGCACCAAAATGCGTCACAAAATGTGCATGCACAAACGCAACCGGAAGGCATCTGCACTATGTTTCTATAGTGTGAACCGGCCCTAAAAAAAATATAATTGATTAAGGGATAGTGGGATTGATTAGAGCGTTTCACTTTTATTTATTTTTTATTTCAACATTAAGTTCCCATTCACACTATACTGCACAACATCAGACGTTACGCATATGAGTGCTTTTTATGCACTGTCGCATGTCATGCATAGGGCAGCCTATTAATTTCAACAGGTTGCCCTACGTACAACAAAAGCAGAAAAGAAGCTCATGCACCTTTTTGACCTTCAAGCTTTGCACATTGTTTTAACTGAGCAGATTGCTGTGTTTTCTGTATTCTTTTTTGTGTGTAAAAATGCACAACTTTCCTGCTGCATTTGGGGTGCCATTACCAAGAATGGCACCACAAGCACAACACATATTTTTCATGCTATGCCAGTGTAAATGCAGCATGACAGTTTAAATGGGGCTAAATGTGGTCTGAGTGCATTCCATTAGAAATAATTACATCTTCAGCTATATTATTATTATAAATCATAGATGGAGAGGTTGATCCAGTGAATTAATCTGACTACCACTGATGAAGTCAAAAAGTATATTTTTTTTATATACATACCTGACGGATATATTATTATTATACAGGATTTTATAGAGTGCCAACAGTTTGCTCAGCGCTTTACAATATAACGGGAGACAATACAGCAACAGTATAGTTCAATACAAGAGGGATAGGAGGGCCCTGCTCCTCGGAGCTTACAATCTAGGAGGGAGGGGCTACTAGTACAAAAGGTAGTAAATGTGGGGGATGGACTGGTTGGAAGAGTAGAAGATTCCATTGCTAGCTGAGGGCAGGATAGGCTTCCCTGAAGAGATAGGTTTTCAGAGATCGCCTAAAAGTGAGCAGAGTAGGCGATAGTCTGATACATTGGGGTAGAGAGTTCCAGAGGATGGGAGAAGCTCTGGAGAAGTCCTGGAGACGAGCATGGGAGGAGGAGACAAGGGAGCTAGAGAGGAGGAGGTCTTGCGAGGAGCGAAGAGTACGATTTGGGTGATATTTAGACATAAGATTGGTGATGTAATTTGGGGCTGAGTTATAAATGGCTTTATACGTTATTGTTAATGTTTTGAATTTTATATTGGCAGCTACCTTACAATTGTGCCTTTTGATTGCTTTTTTTCTTCTGTAACAACACTTTCAATCTTAATTATTAAATTACTGTATGCATTTTTTTTTCATTCAAGGTAATTGATGCCCGAACCTGCAAGACAGCTAAAGAAATGTTTGATCTTATTTGCCGTCACATAAAGTATGCCACCAATGCTGGGAATATAAGGTAAATTAACTTTCTTGGAGGGGCAAAACCCAAGTCTGTATTTAAAAAAGACATTGATCAATGTGTAAAGTTATGTAATGGGATGTAGTGTTCACCCCAAAGGAGCCACTGTATTGATTATGTTTTTCTATCCTGCTCCAACAATGGCCCACTCAGCACCACCCAAAACTCACCAACAAACCTTGTGGGTTTTAATGGGTTTTATTAAAAGGTGCAATAAAGCCCTAAAGGGAGAAAAGTGGTTGCAACAATCACAGCAGAAAGACAACACAAAACAGGGACAGTAAACACAAAGGCAGTATATATATATGAAAAATAATGTGTATACAGTAATGCAATGCAGAGAAACTAAATGTACACACAACTACAATATGGACAATCAAAAATTACCACAAGGCCTAACTAAGGGATACCAAAGTCCCTGCCTACCATGCTGTCCAGTAATAACAGGCCCAGTCCTGCCAGTATTGGGGCCCTTAATTTTTAGGATGAAGCCCACCTTAACTGATTTTTTTTAATCCCCAAAAGAAACTAGATTGCTTCCAAAGGAATATGTTCAGATTAATCCCAAATGGGCAGCACTAACCCACTAAATAGGCAAACAAGGAACGTCAGAGGCCAAGAGCCCTCTCACCACTGTAGTTGGTCTTTGGGTCTCCAGCAGTGTTTCCACCAATCTCATGAAGGCCAGCGAAAGGTCCCCTCTGGAGCCTACAGCTACTTCAGGTGGTCGTTTCCTTGAAGGTCAAGAACAGCCGCTGACTCTCACTGGATTGGCCACAGTCTTTCATTGTATTATCTGAGGACAAAAAGCCTATAGTTTACAGAAAGTTTACAGGTCAAATTTACATACAGAACCAAGAAAAGACTCATTCTTTATTAGTTGGCTCAGTATGTTTCAAAGTGAGATGGCTGTGCCTGACAGGGAGCTACTACTGTTATGCTGTCTATTTAGCTATCCCATTGTGCTGTGGGAATTCTTTATACTATATTACATTTGTAGGTGCAAAACAAAGACTGCATACATATATAGCCTTCTTATTACCATAGATACCTTTACATGGCTACTTGCATATTTCACACCTGTATGGTATTTGAAGATTGAGCCTTCGCTCAGTTGGGAGGACTTTGGCCTTTCTCAGATAACAGCCTCAGGATCAAGGCTTGGACTTCACCACTCCAATCCTCATTTACCGAAGGCTGAAGTAATTCCTGTGTATTCACTGCACAAGGTGTTTGATTATACCACCAGACCAGTGAAGGTTCTAGATTTACTTCAATGCCCCCATCCCTCAGCCCATTGCTTATAGGCAGCAGGGTTAGGTCACAGCTGCAGCAAAATCCTTTAAAAGCTTTTTTTGAAAAACTAGGACCCCTCTAGACTGTTGTCCCAGATATTTAACAATTGTTCCGCCCAACCTACTGGGTTTAACTCCAAAGGGATTGGACAGCTAATAAATATGTAATATTAATCCCTATTTATTGTTCCTACACATCTCACGGGAATAGCTCAACAGTGGTTGTTAGACAATACGGCAGGGGAAAACCAAACAGAACTGCAAAACCTGAAAATCCATATAGGAGATAATATTATTATTTTAGCACAAATGACTTTTTGGAGACATAATTGCATGTTTGATTTGATTTGTAATTTTTAGAAGACTGCATAGGGCAGCGCTCTTATATTTATGACTGTTTACATAACTGTTACTGATGGTACCACAATGATTTGTTATTAATTGTAAATGTGCTCATTTAGAGATCCCCTTCCTTTTCGTGCCCCCTGCAGATTGAAACGTGTCAGCTTTCCTGGGGAATGTCCTGTTGCTTTAACCCTATAAGGGACTACATAAAAAAATTTCATTTTTCTACAATAAAGTATACTGTATATAATTTTTTTATACAAATACATGTGTGGAATTTTGTCAGCTGCATTAACGTCCCAAGGAGGAAACGCTTTCTTGCACTACATTTGCACAACCCGGAAGTAATGTGACAAAAAGATTTATACCTTACACTTGGTGGGGTTTTTAAGGCAACCTTAGAATATATAAATCAGACTATTTTTTTAAACAAAATATGATATTTTATTTAACACATCAGTACCTATTTTCCCCATAGAATATAACAATTCTTGAAAGCATACTTGCGTGACAATATTAGCAATTATTGCATAGAGAAATTAGCGATATCTCGTGACGCTGATATTCATCTTGCAACCTCATTTGAGGGAACTACAAGTGCATTCAGCCTATATCTAACGTGTGTTGAATACTTTAATGTGATTCTTCCTCAGGGAAGGGATACCGCTCACAAAAAATGGTCAAACTGAAAATGCTTAGCTGTGCTTTTGGAGAATGAGTCCCCCTCATGTGAAGGATGAGATCATCACTTGGCATGCAAGAACCATGGGCGCCACGTTGAAGAGTAATTCTTTAAAATTGCCATGAATATATACGGTGCTGTTGTAGTTTAAACTCAGAAATATGTCAAATTGTGTCCGGTCCCCAGGAGAACCACATGTATCACATCTATCTCTGACTCTCTGATGGGTTAAAGTCTGAATGCCAGATTTCTGAGGTTAAACTACCACAGCACTGTGCTTTGAACCCCAAGGACAAAAAAACTTGTTTTCCTGTAATCTGGTACATTTTGTTTGGGAGGATCAATAGAAGCTGATATTCATTTAAAACATTTGAGTTTAGCATATAAGGCTGTTTTGAAAGCAAAGCATTGTCAAAGTGTCTTGTCATAATAGCACCTCACAGGTCAAATTGATGGCCTCCCTACAAGTAAAAATGCCATATATCATGCATAAATGTGCCCAAAGCCTTGCTGCAATTACCCTACCTACGTACACTCTCACGCAAGGTACATTACAGAAATATTTAAAAAATTTTGCTTTGATTGAACCCTGGGAATACAAAAACGTTTTCTTGTAATTATTTATATCGATCAATTGAAATTAATGTGGTTCTTCTTTTAGGTTATATCGTAACCATTGAGGTGCGATGTGAAGGGGGCCAATGGGTTGTAATGACACATTGAACTATTTACTTTTTTTCAACTTCATTTGACATTTCATTCATCTTTATGCATCTTTATGAATGTTATGATGCACAGTCAGTGTTGCCAACTGTCTGTAAATTTAGTAAAAGATTAGCACTTTTCTCCAGTCTGTAAATGTCCATAAATGGGAGAAAAGTGCCTGTAAAAAATCCCCTTGTCGGGGATCTGAACTATACATGCACAGTTCCCGAGCCAGCTGATTAGAGAACTGCCAGGCTCAGCCTTGGATCGGGCAGTGGGTGTGGCTTATATTCATGCTCCTTGCTGCATGAGTTGAGACAGAGAGCTTGGCAGTTCACTAAGCGGCTGGCCCCCTCAATGACTCCAGATTGCCCCCTTGCATCCTCTAGAGTGCCTACTTACATCCTTTACTGTACCCCCTTAGTAATACTAAGGGCACACTCTGGAAGATGTAAGGGAGAACTATGGAGGAACTAAGGGGAGTTCTGGAGGATGTAAGGGGGCATTCTGGAGGATGCAACGGGGCACTCTGGAGGTACTAAGGGGGCATTCTAAAGGATGTAAGAGGGCACTCTGGAGGTACTAACTTAATACCTCTAGAGCACCCACTAAATCCTCCAGAGTGCTCCCTTATATCCTCCAGAATGCCCCTTACATCCTCCAAAGCTCCCACTTACTTCCTCCAGAGTGGCCTTTTATTAACTCCAGAGTGTCCCCCTACATCCTCCAGAGTGCACTGGCAGGGGGATCCCCAGAAGAGAAGTTTTGAGGCCGCCCTGTGTAAAATCATTGCACAGAGCAGGTAAATACTGTTTAACATGTTCATTAGTTAAAAAAACTTCTAATTTTGCAAACCAGTAATTTCTGATGGCATAATATGATTGGTTTTTGCGGTATGGTTCTAACCTATAACAACATCTTAGCAGGCTTGAGTCAAATGCCTTGGTTGAAAAGGTTTGTTTATGTTTGTGATGTCTTGCAACACGTACACATACCATAAATGCATGCAAACACGTTTGTTACATAAATACTTTAGATTTTTTGCTTTGATTGAACCCTGAGAACACAAAAACTGTTTTCCTGTAATTTGGATTTATATTTTTTCTTTGTATAGATCAATGGAAACTCATGTTGTCCTTTTTTTAGGTCGGCAATTACTATATTTCCTCAGAGGACTGATGGGAAACATGACTTTAGAGTCTGGAACAGCCAGCTACTCTGTTATGCAGGGTTTGAAATGCCAGATGGGATAGTCATTGGGGATCCAGCCAGAGTGGAGTTCACAGAGGTATGCGATTTATGGCGTGTCAACATAAAAACAATATGCTGTGGCCATACACGCAAACAAGGTTTTAGAAATGCCTACTTTCAATATTTTGTTGTTAATTTTAATTTTGAAACTAAACTCACAAGTTCAGTTGATTGTTTAAAAAAAAAGTAATAACATCAGAGACTGTTAATCTAGGGAATATCCAACAGTTTTACGAGATTGGGAACAATTTTTTTTCCTGGTGGAGAAAATTGGGACTATGCTTTAAGTGCTCTTTTGCCGCCTCTGAATAAACTGTGTCTATAGGGTTCTTTACATGGAGGTTTTTAATTTGATAATTTATATTAATTGACCTGGAATTAATTTCTATTGCTTGAACTAGATGCAAATGTGTCTTGTGTCTTTTTTCAGCCTGACTAACTATGTAAATATGTTGCTCTGTAAGGCAGGTAATACCTGAATAATTTTTTTTTGTTCAACCAGGAAGTTGAACAACAAAAACACTGTACACTTGTGTTCTGATGGAAAGGAGACTTCCCTGCCATCAGAACACATTGATTAGTGTTGCTGGCTATAGCCAGTGGCAGTGATCATTTGAGAAAAACCTGACAGACTGGTTGTACAGAAGTCAATCAGTAGATTGACTTCTGTACAACCAGCCTACCAATACATGTATTAAAATTTGACTGGTCCCTGCTGAACCGATAGGATTTCAATCCATCAATGGCTGGCTGAAGGCCCCATGTACATGGGACATTTCTAAACGATGGAAACTGACTGCTAGAAAACGTAGGTTAAAAAACGTCTGTTTAGTCGCGTTTGCATACCGCGTTTATGCACATTTGCGATTAGAACCGTTTTTTAAAGATAAGCACTGGAGAACCTCACAAATGACCAGAATGCACTGAACAGTGGTAAATTATTAACTATTTCAGACGGTTTCAAAGAAATACAGAGAGTAGAACGCAGAGAGAGCAGTATGTGTTGAGATTATATATGAAATAATGGTGAAGCGCTAAGCATATAAAACAATCATAAATATTTACACAAAAAAACAATATATCAATGATGAACCATGATAAAAAAAATAGATAAATGCATAAAGGTACATATATAAATAAACACAATAATAGATCACAGTGACTGGTGCTAATAACCCACACTTGTGGTAGTGTGCAAACGACAGGTCTAATGTGCCACAAAGAAAAACCCCCCAACTTCAATAGAGGGATATATAAGTAGTGTATCACTCAATATACTTTACAATAAAGTGACTAGTGCTCATATACCACACACTCAATAAACATATAGATATAAATATCAAATAGCAAAAATAAAACCCATAATGTAGTGCAAACCAATATGTGCAAAATTGGTGTGCAAATATGCAAATAAGGTGCTTCACTTTTCCACTCCAACCTCAATGCGTGCTCGTGCGACACTCTATCTATCCTTAAGTGGCTAGAGTGCCTCCTCACCTCCTTAACTCGAACCCTGGGGGCCACAACTCTTTTATCATAACTGGCTCCAATGGCTCCACTCAGTATTCACTGACAGTTCAGATGCGCCTGAACTTCCTCAAGATCCTGAGGAAGCCACGTGGTATTCGTGGAGTAACGCGTAGAGCCCGGTGACGCACTTCCGGTTAACGCACTTCCAGTTAATGCACTTCCGGTATACGCCATCATCATACACTCAGTGTCCCACAGTACACCCATAGCACATGGGAAACCGCTTGTCTGTACCAGCTAAACGCGAGTGTTCTATTGGTGTTTTAATGTGATATGTACCAATAAATAGTATCACACTATGGAGGTCTCTTCTGTTTACTCCTCTATGGCCCTGATACTTACCATGCACCTTTGAGCTTTACTACAGTGACCATTACCTGAGAGGCTGTCAGTGGATACTGAGTGGAGCCATGTGCATTAATTATTTTTTATATGGGAGTCTGCAGAGCTTTGCACCATGACCAGTGCAATGTCTGGCTCCTGCACACTCCCCCTACAGATTTCTGGCCTATACCTCTGTACAAGAGGTATAAGAGGGGACTCATCAGTGTCTGCAGTTCATCACTTCATCATTGAGAGCTACAAGTCATAGCTATCTGCCTTGTTGGAAGATGAGACTTGTAGTCTTCTAATTTTTAGACTGCTGTGAATGAATGATGTAACTGCGGGTGGAGCCGTTTTTAAAATGTGACAGCGGGTGTGGGGAAAAAGTCGCCTGCCCTCTGTCACAGTGTTGGGAGGGGGGGAGGGCCCTAGTAACATGTTACTGAAGCTGAACATCTTTTGAGGATGAACACTTTTGATTTGATAAGGTTGATATCTAAAACCTGTTGTTAGGTTTTGCAATACGCAATACGCAATACTCACACTCATACAAGATGACCTACATCCAATCATTCATAAATATTACATTCAATTCAAAGGTATTAATTCAAAAATGTATTAATAGTTTAAAAGAAAGTTCATCTGGGCTTTTACTCACCTTATCCACTTTGTTTACATTGTATAAATCTAAATGGAATATCATGCAGTTGCATTTTTTATACAATATATAAACTTTTTTTACAGCTATGTATACAACTTGGATGGAAACCAAGATATGAACGCTTTGAGATTCTTCCTTTGGTGCTGCAAGCAAATGGTGAAGACCCAGAATTATTTGAAATTCCAAAAGATCTTATATGTGAAGTTATAATAGAGCACCCTAGGTAAGCCCAAGATGTGAAATACTCAGATACACTAACAGAACCTCCCTTCTGGCAGTATCTTCATTTGGAAATACATTTTCCTCTTGTGACTTTGATTTCTGTAATCCTACAATTTAACATGGATGTTGTTTTGTTTTCTGCTAAGGCACTGAAAATGGATTTTGGGAGATGTTAGAGAAAGAGTCTGCTCATAAATGCTCACAAGCTGTTGGTTAGCTTAGCCCATTAAGAGAGAAGAGCTTAATGCCCCCATTCCCCACGTAGGGACAGCTTTTTTAAAGTGGACCTAAACTCAGAAAGTGAAGATTTGCTATGTTAGAGGGAACCTTTAAAAATGTTACTGGTATCTAAGTTCTAGCCTGAAAAATTGTCCTTTTTGGCTTGAATTACTCATGAAGCATAGCAGTGCACTTCCTGGTATGTGAGGGTGCCTAGGCATTCCTTTTACTACAGCTGTATATTTGCAATGTGAGATCTGCATTGCCACTGCCTGTAACTGCATGTCTCAGGAGATCTGAAGAGAGATTTTGAAATCACTCTTGTACTGCTTGCTGTCCTCTTTGCTGGAAGCTCTGACATGAGGATCAAATGGTGTTGGCACCCGCTTGCGAGTAGCATACAATGCTTTATTAAATCAGGATAAAAGGATACATGATGTCCTCTACACTTACACATTTCAGCCCTGTGGGGGCCTATATAGGGCTGAATGCGTGAGCTTAGAGGACATCATGGGGTTTATTTACTAAAGCTGGAGAGTCCAAAATCAGACTCCCTTCTGCATAGAAACCAATCAGCTTCTAACCTCAGCTTGTTCAATGAAGCTTTGGCAATGAAACCTGGAAGCTGATTGGTTTCTATGCAGAAGGGAGTCTGATTTTGGACTCTCCAGCTTTAGTAAATAAACCCCCTAGTGTCCCTTTTTTCTTGATGTAACAAAGCATTGCATGTTACTCTTTAAGTGGGTGCCAACACCATTTGCTGCTAATAAAGACTGGGCTAACAGGAGCCTCTGTGCACTGCTACTTACACCAAATACAGGCAGTCTGGTTGAGAGGTGGGTTTGAGTTTTTTTTCTCTGACATGCGGAAGCAAACGTCCAACCTGTTAGCCACAATTAAAGTGTGAATGGACAACTCTGCAAAGATAACTCCTAGGCCAAAATAGGTTTTCCAAATACTATATCACTTGAAAAGAGATTCTAATATGTTGGAATATCACTGCAACTGATCAGTGATTGTCCTTCTATTTTCTCTATAGTAAACGTGCTGAAACCTATGATTAGTCTCTGAGAAAAAGCCACAACAGGTCCTGTTAGTGCAGTAGTCCAGTGGAGGTTGGACAGATGTCTCACCACCAGTTCTTCTCAATGAGAGATCTGTCCACCTATGGATACGCTAAGATCAAGCACATGTTCAGATATAACATTGATTTTATTTCACCTATTGGTATGATATGATATTAATGGAAACCTATTACAAATGTTACGAAGAACAGATATTACAAGGGGCTGCTGTTACTGATTAATTAAAAAAAGCCTTTTTCTCTGATCCCAGTTTCACTTTTTTTTACTAAAAGCCTGACTTTCCTGAGCTTGGAACATACAGTTCTCTGTCCAGTGAGAGTACCTCAGTGGTGGGAAAGGGAAATCTTTTTGGGGATAGTAGGTAAATGGGGCTTAAATCTTAAAGTCAAGCCAATTTCACTTTTGCACTGTTTTTTTTTTATCTCTGTGAGCATTGAACATATTGGAGGATATGTTGTGTGTGAAATTAGTTATACCATTAAAGCAATTTAGGAATCTACTTTGTACTGAAAACAGTAAGCCTAAGGTCGGGTTTTATGCAGGAGAGATGGATGTGCTTTAAAGTTACCTGAACCTTCAAATTAATATGTTCAAGACTGTACAATTGTTTATTGTTTCTTAAAGGCTTGAGTGGTTTAAAGAACTGGATTTAAGGTGGTACACCGTGCCTGCAGTTTCCAACATGCTGCTTGAAGTTGGAGGCATTGAATTCCCAGCATGCCCCTTCAATGGTTGGTACATGGGTACAGAAATTGGTGTTCGAGACTTTTGTGATGTCCAGCGTTACAATGTGCTAGAGGTAATTTTATTAGCTTTAAATACCATACAATGTATTCTTTTTTATCTATTTTGATATCTCTTATCAGAGATATCAGGAAACATTTGGATTTTATGCAAGACTTTATTGCCAGTGTTCAGTTTTTTTTTTTTAAAAACTCAACCTTGATTATCAGAATACCCTGAAACACGCACTGGGGTTAATTTTTCTAAAGGCAAATAGGCTGGTCACATTGCAAACAAAGTTGCACTTTGCTAGGGAATCGTTCCCAGAGCTTCATGAATGAGGTGAGGTGCTGCTAACTTTATCCATTCACGTGCAAGCAAAAACGCTATTGTTTATCTTCCTTCTATTTGATTGGCTATTCTTTGTAAAATGAAACGTTACTACATTCACTAAGCTCTGGGGTAATTCCCTTGCAAAGTGTAGCTTCCCTTGCAAAATGAACAGCCTATTTGCCTTTTGTAAATCAACCCCCTTGCCTGCTGCCCACATGGCATCCAATTGGATTCTTACTTTTATATATTCTTCTTCTTTATTACACCCGGTAATTTAAAGTGAATGCAAAAATCTGATTGGCTACCTTGAGCAGCAGATGCTTTGCATTTCAAATGCATGAATTTGTACTCGAATATCAATTGCAATATTTGAAACAAAGGCTTGTCAATAGGAACCCTAATAGATAGTGGAAATAGCAGTGACAATATGCAGAATGCAGTGCCCAGATGCAACCAAGTAAATAATCAATATCAACAGTTCCCTTAATGAAGAAGCTCAGTGAGAATGGATTACTGTTCTGCATGTGAAGATTGTTGGTAACTGGGTGTTGAAACTGCTGTAGCAGTTTTTTTTACGCAGAGATGACTGATCAGTGGTATGGGAAATTTGTTTAACAGGAACTAACACGTAGACCACCCATTTCTTGTATGTTGTGAAAACCTTATGCTGGTTTCATGGGTTACGGTCAGCTTCCTCTAAACTGCTGTATCTTTCCTAACCCTTATTTCCCATTCAGTTTAAGCAGCATGCTGAAATAACTTAACTTGTTACTAACCCCAATCACAACTTTAAGATGATAACATAAAGACTTATTGGCAGCCATGTTAATGAGCAATTAAGCATTATATAAGTCAATAAGGTGTTAGCAAGGAAAAATATCTAAAATCAAAGAAAATAGGCAGATGAGAAATCACCATAATAAGGAACTATTGGCTTATGTTAAAATGGAAGCTGGACGTTGACTGATTTAGTATTTCTGCTATTTGGATGAATTTGCTCAGCAATCTAATACTGAACTGGTGTAAATAAACAAAAGTGTGTTCAAAAACAAAAGTAATACAAAATTTAAAAAATTATGAACTAAATAGCTAGATCAAGGGTTGATCTAGATCAGTGCTGACGTTACGTAAGGGTCAAAGGTCAAGTTCAGAGTCAAAGGTGATATCTTAAGTAGGATTTTTTTTTTTTAGGAATTTTTTAATTTAGTTTCAGTGTCAGTTAGTGTCAGTGTGTTTTATGTAGAATTGAAAAAGAAAAATGTGCATTATTGTTTTCTGGCCCCTACTACGGGTACAAACAACAAATAACGTCCACAAATGTGGTATTTCTGAAATTGTCAGGATCATCATGTTTCTTGATGGTAAGCTATGGTAAAACCAAGAAATAAAGCTAAATTTAATTTAAAAATATTTGATCTTTTACTATTTTGGGCCAGTTTTCCTTTAATAATAAAACATATAAGGAGATATCCATTACCATCTACCACAAAAAAAAAAAACCCAGTTTGTCCTGAAAAAAAAAACACAAGGCATAATCCACCTGGATACACAAACTAGTTGTGATGATATACAGTATACAGTTTTACTGGTGTGATGCCCTCCAGGTTAGTTAGATAGCAGTGTGTTGTTTTATTTTACTAGGCAGAGGCTGAGTAGCAGCCTGGGATGAGCCAGCCTGTGAGTGAAGCAGCAGTTCCCCTCAGGATAGGCTAGGGAGGTTCTGAAGTTCAGAATTTCTGGAGCCCTCCCACCTCTTCAGAAACCTGAGAACTTTCTGGAGGAGGAATGGAGGAGAGGAGAAAGCTCAGATCTGCATACTTGAGGGACCTTAGCCAATCCCCTGGCAGGAGGCTGGGCACGGTGACCAAGGCAACCCTTAATTATTGCAGAGCCTGGGTGGAAAGGAGCAGTGTTGGGTAGAAGATGTAGTGAGAGACTGGAGTGTGAAGTCTGGGAGGGGGCACAAGTAAGGGGCCTTCCTACAGGCAGCTGCTGGAGAAGAGGATCTCTACTTTACCACTGTCTCCAAGGGAAAACAATCCTGAGTAGCAGGGATGGAGCCAGCCCAGTGGAAGACCTGAAGGCAGCCACCAACCCATTGAGCTATCATGAGAGGACTGTGTGAGTACTCTTACACCCTCTGGGCTGGATAAGGGAAGAGGGCAGTGAGGTGGAAAACCAAACTAGCTTCTCATCCGGGGTTACTATGCTAAATTGGCAGTTTCTGGGCCCCCTTGCCCAGTGCAGCTGGGTGAAGAGGAGGATTCTGGGGTCTGAGGAGGTACAACAGAGAAGTGGAATGCTCTTAAAGGAGAGACTATTTTGTCTACATGTGTACAAACAGTGAGGAACAGACGTATTTGAACACCCTGCGATTTTGCAAGTTCTCCCACTTAGAAATCATGGAGGGGTCTGAAATTCACATTGTAGGTTCATTCCCACTCTGAGAGACAGAATTTATTTTTGTTTGGAGGAAAAAGAAGGATGAATTGCATCCCAAGAACACCATCCGTACTGTGAAGGATGGGGGTGGTAACATCATGCTTTGGGGGTGCTTTTCTGTGAAGGGGACAGGACGACTGCACTGTATTAAGGAGAGGATGAATGGGGCCATTTATTGTGAGATTTTGAGCAACAACCTCCTTCCCTCAGTCAGAGCATTGAAGATGGGTCGTGGCTGGGACTTCCAACATGACAACGACCAGAAGCACACAGCCAGGATAACCAAGGAGTGGCTCCATAAGAAGCATATCAAGGTTCTGGAGTGGCCTAGCTAGTCTCCAGACCTAAATCCAATAGAACATCTTTGGAGGGAGCTGAAACTCCGTGTTGCTCAGCGGCAGCCCCGAAACCTGACAGATCTAGAGGAGATCTGTGTGGAGGAGTGGGCCAAAATCTCTTTTTCAGTGTGTGCAAACCTGGTCAAGAACTACAGGAAACGTTTGACCTCTGTAATTGCAAACAAAGGCTTCTATACCAAATATTAAGACTGATTTTTTTAGGTGTTCAAATACTTATGTTCAGCAGTGCAAGACAAATAAATTCTTTAAAAATCATACAATGTGATTTCCTGAATTTTTTTTTTAAATTCTGTCTCTCAGAGTGGGAATGCACCTACAATGTGAATTTCAGACCCCTCCATGATTTCTAAGTGGGAGAACTTGCAAAATCGCAGGGTGTTCAAATACTTCTGTTCCTCACTGTAGCTGTTAAAGAGTTTGTCCTCAAGATTGCAGTTTCCTTGGGCATCCCATACACCTCTCAACCCCATCCAAGTTCTAAACCTCTTTAATATAATCACAAAACCAGTCTCAAGGACTGTATACTGACTCTGAATGCAACATGTGTAAGAAATTGCATGTGGCCTGGCTATGGAGAACTGTAAGGGGACCTTAAAATCAGCAGCTCATAAGGGGGTAGTGCTAAATTAACAAATGTCAAAGTTGCAGAATTGTGTTCAGACATTAACACTTGTTTTACCCTCAGTCACTAAGAGGTTAAACATTACTCCAAAGCCCCCTACTAAACATTATAAAGCATGGTGAGCTTGTTAGGATTTTTAAGCAAAAAACACTTAAAAAAGTAACCAGCAATTTATAAATATGTAGGTTATGCTATAGCAATGGAAATGTGTCACAATATATAGAAGGTGTTTCCGCTACAGTGAAATTCATGCTCTGTATTTCTCCCAGTGATCATTGCCTCCAATTCAAAATATTGTGGAATTAAAATGATGCAGAATCTACAATTGTAGAGTTGTTGCAGGAACAGTATGTAAGAAGAATTCTAATGGGCATATCTGTTCTGGTGACAGCTATCTTAGCAGGAGAAAAAAAAGAAAACTGATAGGGTCTTAAATATTTCCTACAGAGTCAAATCTAAAAAATGTGGGCTATACATACTCTTTAGGCCATATAAAGCAGAAGGAAATTTGTATAATTTACATTTACAAATATATTGCCAGTGTTTGAAAATTTTGTTGAATTCATCAGCTGAACTCTGATTATGGTCAACTTTAGGCCATGTTCACACTGTTGTGGGCCGCACGGTTCGCATTTGTATGGGCTCAGTAAACTTTTTATTTAGATAGACCGCTGTACCTCAGAGAAAGGCAGGGAAAAGTCCATGACCCCTTTTTAAAAATGCGGCTACATGGAACCGCTTGGGCATTGCCTGTGCATTTTCATCTGCAAAAGAGCAGAGTGTTTTGCCTGCAGGTTGGGGAATCCATGCAATTTATACCTGTTCCCAGACCTGCTACAGTGTGAGCTTAGCCTTATGCTGGCCAAGGATTGGCAGTTATTTCACCAACATTGTTTTGTGTTTTTTCAGCAACCATTAGAAATCAATCATATTACATTGTTATATTTTCTAATATTGGTAAACTGAACTTTGCTTGATTGTGATAGATTGCTACATTGTTAAAAGCATCAGTGCTATGCATTCTGCTTTGGAAATGAAATAGATTAACATGTGCTTTTGTATCTTTAGGAAGTTGGAAGAAGAATGGGATTAGAAACTCACAAACTGGCATCTCTGTGGAAAGACCAGGCAGTACTTGAAATCAATGTAGCTGTTCTTTACAGCTTCCAGGTAGGTTCTGTTGTATTAAAATGGAAAACACTGGAAAACATATGCAGGTTTAATGACTGGTAGTATTCATGTGGTTATAAATCACCTGTTCTAGATTTATATCTTCTAGTATTTTAAGCAACCTTGTTGCAAAAATGTGTTCAAAGTACATCAATCACTAGAACTGGTCCCACTGGTAGCCCTCTTAGACTTAAGGTCTGTAAAATAAAATATATTTAATGTTTCTACATATAAATCTTAACTACCTACCTACCGGGCAAATTCTGATGCTTCTCACATACATATAAATATCAGCATTTTTTTGCTAGAAAACTACTTAGAACCCCCAAATATTATATACAGTGGGTAAAATAAGTATTGAACACATCACCATTTTTCTCAGTAAATATATTTCTAAAGGTGCTATTGACATGAAATTTTCACCACATGTCAGTAACAGCACATACAACCCATACATACAAAGAAACCAAAATAAATACATTCAGAAATTAAGTTATGTGTAATACAATGGAATGACACAGGGAAAAAGTATTGAACATGCTAACTGAAATGTATTTAATACTTTGTACAAAATCCTTTGTTGGTAATAACAGCTTCAGGATGCCTCCTGTATGGAGAAACTAGTCACATGCATTGCTCAGGTGTGATTTTTGCCCATTCTTCCACACAGTCTTCAAATCTTGAAGCTTCCATGGGCCTCTTCTATGAACTCTGATCTTTAGTCCTTTCCATAGATTTTCTATTGGATTCACCTCAGGTGATTGGCTGGACCATTCTAGCAGCTTTATTTTCTTTCTTTCTTTAAACCAGTTGAAAGTTTCCTTGGCTTTGTGTTTGAGATCATTATCTTACTGAAATGTCCACCATTGTTTCATTTTCATCATCCTGGTAGATGGCAGCAGATTTTTATCAAGAATGTCTTGGTACATTTTTCCATTCATCCTACCTTCAATATGAAGTTTGCCAGTACCGTATGCTGAAAAACAGCCCCACACCATGATGTTCTCACCTTTAACGTTCACTGTTGGTATGGTGTTTTTGGGGTGATGTGCAGTGCCATTTGACCTCCAAACATGGTGTGTATTATGGCATCCAAGGAGTTCAATTTTGGTCTCATCTGACCAGATAAATTATCCCAGTATTTCACAGGCTTGTCTAAATGTTGTGCAGCAAACTTTAAGCAAGCTTCAACATGCTCTTTCTTCAGCAATGGAGTCTTGCATGGTGAGCGTGCATACAGGCTATGGCGGGTGATTGCATTACTTATTGTTTTCTTTGACACAAATATACCTGTTAATTCCAGATCTTTCTAAAGCTCTCCACAAATGCTCTTGGACAACTATTCTGATAAGTCTTTTCTCTCCTCTGTCAGAAATCTGGTGAGAAGCACCTGGTCGTGGCTGATTTATGGTGAAATTATGTTCTTTCCACTGCCAGATTATGGCCCCAACTGTGCTCACTGGAACATTCAGAAGTTTAGAAATCCTTAAGTAACCAATGCCATTTCAGTATGTTTTGGAACAATAGGGCTGCAAAGGTTTTGAGAGAGCTCTTTGCTTTTCATATTCTTGTGTGACACCTTGGTAATGACACTCCTTCTTATAGGTCATCAGTTGAGACTGAACCAGCTGATATTAATTTACACTGACAGGCAGGATTGCTTTCTAATTACTGATAGATTTCAGCTGGTGTCTTGGCTTTCCATGCCTTTTTGCACCTCCCTGTCTTCATGTGTTCAATACTTTTTCTCTGTGTCATTCCATTTTATTACACATAACTTAATTTGTGAACTTATTTGTTTTGGTTTCTTTGTATGTATGGATTGCATGGGTTGTCACAGACATATGGTCACAATTTCATGTCAATAGCACTTTTAAAAATATGTTTACAGAGAAAAATGGTGAGGTTCTCAATACTTATTTTACCCGTTGTATATTTTTAAGTAGAGGCCCTAGAGAATAACAGGGTGGGTGTTGCAATATTTTGTGTCACACTGTATTTACACAGCATTTTTTTCAACTGCAAATTTTTGGGAAAAAATACACTTTAATGAATTTTGGTGAACATATGTGTCCTGTACATCCTAGTACTCTGCCACCGAGCCCGCACTTTCTCTGTTAGTGTGCTGGATGCTGCTGTAGTACTCTTGGATAGTTGGATAGTGGCTTCTGTAAGGGGTATCACTCTCAATACAACAGGAGTCTACAAAGCAACAAGTGGCAACTCTGCCCCCTCAGAGCTCGGGGAGAGAAAAAGAGACTGAGCAATCATGTGACCGCTAATAAAATAAGGAAAATTGGGTATTTACAGTTTTTTTTTATACATTATCATCTACAGGGCATGCTTAGGCAATGGGTATGCTTTGCCACAAAGTGTGTTTTAGTTTACCTTTTTACTTTAACTGAAACTGTACAGTATACAGTAAATACATAAGTTGGTGACAGTGCACAGAACGTTTATTTTAATGTTTCAAGTGTTAATAATCGCTTCATTTAAAAATTTAAAATATACTGTGTGTATGGCAGCATCCTACAATATTGATGTCTGCTTTCTGTTCTCAGCTTGTTACGTCTCTGAAATTTGCCTTAGAAATATAACTCTCTTTGGTTTACCCCTTGTAATGTCCCCTTGCTGTAGCCACCTTGTGAGCTCACTCCTGGATGGGACTACAGCCTGACAAGCCACAGCTCCGTGTCATACATGATTTGTAGTAAAATGTATTGCATATGGCAGCCTTTAGTTGTTAAAGTGTTACTAAACCCACAACTGTAAAATCAGTTTGTATATACAGTAAAACACGTTTGTTATACTCACTGTGGAACCTAAGGGGTTAATCCTTTGCATTGTGTAAAAAGCCTGTTTGATCCTTTCTTCTCTGTTCCTCCCCTTTTTCAAGTGACCACCACTTATCTCCAGACTGAACCGTAGGCATGCACATCCTATTTTCTCTAGAAAAAGAGAGGAAGGCGCCTCTAAGTGCAGTATTGACAATTTATTCATTAAACAATGGAAAATTTGCACTTACAAGATAAACGATTAAAAAGACTCATCATGTGGTAATTAGATCCAGGTGGGACATCCAGCCGTCCAGCAGCAGACTATGCCTATAGGATCAGGAAGTAGAGACCAGGATGTGCCTGTGCATCAAATATGAAGCTTGGAGAACAGAGTCAGATGTAGCAGGTGAAGGGGGCGGTAATACATTTCGGAGCATGCTCAATAGGCTCCTTCTTCAGACCTCCAGAGGTCTGAAGAAGGAGCCTATTGAGCATGCTCCGAAAGCTCCGAAAAGCTCTCCAAGCTTCATTTTTTTGAAAGATAAATAATGCATTTTATATACAACTGTATAGATCAGACCAATGAGGGACAAAGGAGGAGGAACAGTTGGGAGGTATGTTTATTACTACTTTAAGGGGGTTTGGCTATCAAGTCTACTGGTGCACTTCTGTGAACTATTTGGCCTTTCCGCAGACTCAGGTTTGTTTATGGTCAGTTTATAAAAGGGAAAAAAAACTGTTCCATTTATTCAAAGTAGAAATCATATTTACTGTATATGTGAGCTGAACAGCAACAGCGCATATATGTTTATATGTGTATACATTATACATTATTTATACATTAGCTATTATTGCTGACCTGCTTGTGAAAATCCTACTTCCTTACTGCCTTAAGCTTCATGATTTTTAAGACACTGGCCAAAAATAGAAATGAAGTTAGAGGAAACACGCAGAGAGTAAAATGAAGGCTATCACTGCTGACTCCCTTTGGAAAATTTGGTCAACTAGAGTTTTTAGAAGGTGGTCAGCAATAGCAGTCTCCATAGTTCTCTCACTAGTGGAAACATTATCTAGAGTACCTCTTTAATTCTTTTGCCATTTTTTCATTTTGCTCACACATATCAAAAAGCACATTTTGTGCACATGTCCACATTTTGGAAGGCAGAAACCCTGTAGAATAAAATGGTGATAACTGTAATTTCTTATGTCACAGGATATTTGTGCTAATATTTATCAGATCTATATTTTTAGTAAAAAAAAAAATACACCCAATATTAATTTTAGTGTACAACAGCACAAGGTGACCCCTATTTTTTTGGTAAAATATATAGTTGATGAGGCTGTGCTGAGTAAACAGATACTTAGTGTATCTATTTACCCGACACAACTTCATCAATTACTGTACCCAAAATTTTACAATGGCCTTTAAACCTCATCAGTTTAGAGTTAACCATGAATGATGGCCCTGGAAGTATTGCCTTACTCTGGCATGTGCAGCAACTCCTAATACATATGGCACAGTTGTTGCTTTCAAACATGTTTACACTCAATGTAAACATTTACTATATTTTATTAAATCTTAATTTTGTAAACATTTTTTTTTTTTTTAAACTTAAAGTGGAGCTCCACCCAAAAGGGGAAGTTCCACTTTACGGACTGATCCCCCACTCCCTGTTAAGGATTGGCACCTTTGGGTATCGGGGGGGGGGGGGAGCAGATACCAGAAATTGACAAGTACCCGCTCCCACTTCTGCTGCGATCGCCTAAGGAGATCAGAAGCGGACGTTTCCTCCTCCACTCCCTCCCCATAGTCTTTTGGGGAGGGAGTGGATACTAGTTCTGGTGACACCCAGGGATTCCCTCACTTTGGAGGGATTTCCTCTCACTTCCCGTTTTGGCTATGGGACAGGAAGTGGAGAGAAATCTTTCCAGTGGGACAAAGATGGCAAAAAACAACTGATAGGGGTTATAAACTTCCCCTACTAAAGTGGTTCTAAAGGCTAGACATTATTTACCCTAATGCAGTCCCTACATTAAGGTAAAAGAATGCCCCACCAGTTGTATCACCTCTCAACTCCCTTTATACTTATCGAATCCTATCTCGATCAAACGATGTGCCGCTGTGCTGTTCATAGGCTTACATACAGTAGCAGGAACCATTGGCTGCTGCAGTCAATCAAATCATGTGGGGAGGGAGCAGGGACAGTGCTGAGCTGCACTTTGTGTGTCAATGGATGCACACAACCTGGCTAGAGAGCAAGCACGCAGGTTTGCCACCATAGGAAGCTGCTTTCTATGGTGGCACACTGAGAAGAGGAGGAGCCAAAAGCACCTGCAGGCGACCCCAGAAGAGGAGGTTTCAGGCTGCTCTGTGCAATATCATTGTACAGAGCAGGTGAGTATACCATGTTTATTATGTTAATAAAAAAAATACCTTTTACAGCTGCTTTAACTTTACTGCTATTGCTGACAATCTTCCTATGGAATTGCATACAGCAGGTGACTGTAACAAGCGTGCACACAGTGAAGGACGCAGCCTCCATTTTGTTAAGAAATCTCCATTTTGTCCTTTCATTCCCCCCCCCCCCCCCCCCTTGCTCTCTGTTCATACACATTGACATATGACCTGTGTGTTAAAAAGTGTCACAGGCCAGAGCACAGCAGGGAATCCCAGAGCTATAAAACATTTCTGAGCGAAATGCTGGGGTGTCTACCAGAGCTGTACAATTTAGCACCTCGTAAAAAGATAACGCAGCCTTCCCAGGAGTTCAAGGCATTCCAGAGAAGCAGGAAACCAGATAACCTTTTTAAAAATCCATTTTTCCCCTATGTCTCACATCTTGGAGTATGAGAGACTTACATAAAAACCAGGCATATCTTCAGATTGGCCACGAGGAGACAGTTTGGTAGGTCACACTCCCTGACTGGAATACATAGGAAAGCAGAAAAGTAGATCTCGTGAACCATTCAATAATGTATTTCATATTTCATATCTACCCGTTCTTCAGAGGCAGCTGCATAATAATCTACCCGCGGGTGGAATGTCACTTGTGCATAGGAAAAGTTATGAGCAAAATATGAGTTATGAGAGATTTTGGCTCTAGTTTAGGCCTCCGCCCGACGATCCCTCCCTAAACGGGGCATTGGTCCTTGACTTCAGAGACACCCCCAGCTAGGGAACTACAAAATGGGCTGTCAGGCCTAAGAGAGCTGAGTTGAAGATTTCTCCCATTTAACATCAATACCACCTGGGGAGACCTGTACCCTTTCGTTCTTAAACTTGATGTGCTAACCTAGGACCTCGGCAAGTACTTTAACCCTTTAACCTCTCTCTGTTATCTCTTTGCTGTGCTGTTGTTCTCTGTATATTTATATTTATATTGGTTACATCTTTTTTCTGTAAATATTTTTATTGCACCCCTTTTTGACTTTCAGTAATAAATCTTTTCTTTTGAAAGTGTTGAACTGTTTCTATAGCTCTTAAATGCAATTTACGAATTCCTGCCTCTAAAAAGAGCGCTACTATGTTTGTTTAACCCTCTGTATAACCGGCCTGCGGTGACCGTGTTAGGCAGACGATTATCTCAATCATTATAGTGTTATTGCTGGTATAGCCGAGTTTCCTCTTTCTCTGTACAAAAAGGAGGTGGTGGCAGTTTGAAGGGGTTAATTGCGTAATTAACCTGACCCAGTAACAATCGCTCAGGCTGCCGGTACACAGATTGTGGTCCAATTAGCTGGAATATCGTTGTGCAGGGTGCAGCTGGGTGTGGCATTGTTACGCACGTGACATTGTGGTTTTAGATTGGCTAGTCCTTTGGTCACGAGTTTAGTAAGAAGGGCTGGGGTCTGACGCCGTGGTCGTCACATATTGGTGACAGCGATCGCGGGATTGTCGCATATTGGGGGCAGCGATCCTGTGTCCGTCACAGTGACAGGTTCCTTTAAGGAGACACCAGGGATCTATTAGAATCCAATGTCATCTCTGCACTCAGCCGAAGTCAAACCAGCACACACTGCGCTCGATTAGCTGTTTCTCCTGCCAGATGGCCAAGGTTTGACTACTCTGAGCATGGACATGCTCAGAGCCAAGTTCACATTTTACAGGGGAGATTAGCAAATGGATGTTTACTATCTCCCATTGCTCTCCCTTCTAAAACCTACCATGTACATCCTGGGCATTCAGGAGGAACAGGTAAGCTTTAGACACATGGTGGAGGTGGGTTCAGGCCGGACGGGGACAGCACTTCACCAGCATTTATGAGTTATCAGGCGACTGTAGGGCCATTTCTATCACATTGCAAGCAGCCAGGAGTAAAATGCAGTTTGGTAAAATGCTGACTCTGCCACCATCGCAATAGTTTGGGCTGCAGATAAAGGGTTATATCATAACTAGAGGTCAACAGCAACACAGTTGTGAAGCCAGAAGATGGCCATGATTGTTGGGCTAGCATTTTTAGAAGATATGTAGTGAACACCAACTTGTTTTTTTCAAGACAGTTTTTCTTTCAGTTCCAGAATATCTATTTGTTGCACATTTTAACTGTCTTGTATGCTTATGGTAAACCGATGGACAAGCTTTTAAGTATTTACATTTTCATTTGTATTAAAAAGCTGCTTTAACAGAAGCCCATGATCTCCTCTGTGGCTGCAGGCACTGTGGAGTAATTCATCTTCAAGGTTCAGAATCTCTGTTGTTCAAGTTATTTTCTCAGTAGCACTGTTTACCCTGCTTCCCCTCCCAGAGCACCTGCTATATGTTTACATTAAAAAAGTCTGGAAGAATTCAAAGTCACTGGGAGGGGGGACAGGGTAAAGTGAACTGGTACAGACAAGGAATTCAGTTCTTCTATTAGAAACTTTGAGAATTAATTTATCCACAGGAGAAGGATATCAAAGCATGCATGACAATGGGAATACATATGGAAAGACAAGCCTTTGGGCAGTTGGATAGTGTCAAGATAACCATCCTCTACTACCAACATTAGGCTACATTTCCTTTGCCTACTTACTGTATCTTTTAATTATACTTTTTAATTGTAAGCTTCTTGAATGGGTCTCTCATTTCAACTGTTACATGCATTTGTGAATGATATAAGACTATCGCTCTAGTTATTACATTTTAGAGAAGTGGGTCTATATAGTTAATAGGAATGACTGAATGCAGTTATATAGTGATGTGATTATAAAAAAGTTATGTAAGTAAAATCTTCAGTCAGAGCACATTGCTTTTAAATAACTTTTGTTTTTCAGAAACACAATGTAACTATAATGGATCACCATTCTGCAGCAGAGTCTTTTATCAAACACATGGAGAATGAGTACAAGCTGCGGGGAGGCTGCCCAGCTGACTGGGTTTGGATTGTGCCTCCAGTGTCAGGGAGCCTCACCACTGTGTTTCATCAGGAAATGCTCAACTATATTCTGAGCCCTTTTTACTACTACCAGGTAGGACAAGTGTGACACCATAATGAGCTTCATTTTCAAAGTATCAGTCAGTCACCAGTCAGAGTCAATTTGAAATGGCAAATGACAGAACAAAAATAAAAAGGTGATTTATGAGGGTATAGTGCAGACAAACATGTCTTGGAATGATTACAGGTAGCACAGCCTACTAGTTCAGAAGTTCAGTGTTCCATCCTGACATTGCTGTAGAGCACAGTCTATGCCATTTTCTTTCGCTGACAGTCTGTCTGTTTGTAAAGCAGAAAATGCATTCCAAGACACACCTATTGCAGGAACTTCACCTTGTTATTAACACACAGAAAGAATGATGGCCTTATGCAGGCAATACATGGATCGGATTCAGAAACAATTTTCTTTAGAAAATCGTAAATTTCATGCAATTTGTAATCCGATGGTGCCACCATTGATTTTCCAAATTCAGCCAACCAAGCCTTCAATTTCACCTCATCTTGCTACAGAAAAGAAGAATTTTCTTTTCTTTCCAGGTCACAGCTCATGCTCATTTCTTTTCCGATTAAATTTCTCACACCATTCTCCCATCAATGATTAGAAATTTGTTCGTTTTTCAAAAAAATTCCAACATGCCCGATCACTCAAATTCGATGGTCGCTCGAAAATCAGCCATTGCTGTCGCCCTCTAATGGTGCAAAATTTGAATGAAAATTCTTAGAAACGATATTTGAAAGAAAATTCTTACGGAATTCGACCCATGTATGGCCAGCTTTACTCGGAGGATTCGTTGGAAGTTTGAATCTGATTGGTTATATAGCATGCAGGCTGATAGGAAGGTCAGGAAACAATCTCCCACTGAACATGTGAGGAAATATGTGAACTCTGGTTTCAATGGATAACAGAAAACCCAGATCAAGGTAGTCAAGTCAAGTGACATTGACAGTTTGTGTTGGTTATTATTTTCAGTGCATTAGTTGATTTCAGTTGCTTTCTGGAATTTTCCTGTAATAACATTAAAGCTGAAGTCTGCGTAGAATAAAATGACACAAAATAATGCAGTTCTGTATTTATGAATACATTAATAAATGTATTTGTAATGGAAGAAGTTTACCTGCTTGAATTTTACCAGAATTTTATCAGCTGCTTGCAATCCTTGCACAGAAGATTATAGACTTTGAGAGGGAGATACAGCATAAGGGGCAAATTAGTTTTGTTGCATCGCAAGCTTCATGCTGAGTGGAGAAGAGAGCAGAGTGACAGAGAGATGAGCTCATAAGTCTGCTGCTTCTCCTTTCACTGGTTGGGGGAGGGACAGGACCTGTGAGCATTAACTGACTGTAGCAGAGAACAAATTGGTCACCGGCCGTGCTAGGCAAGACTTTGCTTTTTGGCAGATATACAGTATGTAATATACAGTATGAAAATCTCAGACCTGGATATGTATTTTATCTGTGTATTTAGCTGTTTTCTTCAAGTTCAGCTTTAAAGCCTTTATAAACCCGACAAAAACATGTAATTTTATGAAGCCTACCTGTCATTATATATTGTGGCTGGATTGGTTTTCTCTGCTTTTGCTTTATTTTCTCCTAGTGTTCCTGTCAGTAACATATTTCCTATCCAAGGGTGACAACACTCATTCCATGTTCCATATCTATGGAAAAGCAGTGTTCCTACCCTAGAATGCTTTCCTTATTTGGAATACAATCACACTGCCATCCCCTCATTTCTTTTGCATGGGGAGCATGTGTTTTTTGTAGTTCACAGAAAATAACTGAGAAGGCTGATAACATTGTCTGAGTCTTCAGTTTGGTGCACAGAAAGTACACTAGAAAATGTGCTTAGCCTGAAAGATGAAAACTAATGCCGCCACCACATCTAAGGCCTGAAAAGTTGCAATGTATTACATTTTTGTAGTTGGGTTTAAATATAGCTTAAATTATAAAATGGCTTGTGTAGCATTTAGGTATGTTTGCTCCAATGTTTTGCTATCAAAAATATGCATTAAAGTGGTTGTAAACCTGAGACATGAAATGTGAACAAATCAAATCACATCCCTCTATAGTGTGTGCTTGTCTTAATAAAGAGGACAAAGTGCCATTTCTGTTTGCTGCTTCATTCCTCTGCTACCAGCATGAGTCACTTCTGACAAGTTTTCTTGACACCAAAAGAAAAATGGTGACAGGAAAGGGACCTCCAGCAGACTGACAGCCTCAGCCTGTGAGCTCCGTGGAGTGTGTTCCTTCCTCCAATCACCTCTTAGAGCTCTCCTCACTGAGCTCTGCAGAATGTAATTTCAGCTCTCCACCCCCCTCTTTTCTGAACACTCAGACAAGCTTTATAAATTCAGCACTTTGAATGGATGTGGAAAAGAGAAAACTGCAGACAAGCACAACTTATGTAGGAGGATTTGTTTCATCTCTGTGTATCACCTGAGGCCAGTCACTTCACTGGGTATATGTAAGGGTTTACAACCACTTTAGAACAGATTACATTTATTTTAAATACAAATGAATGTGAATGACCGTTAAACAGCCATACATTAAACAAGTAAAAACGGGGGAGTGATCTTTTATATATAGATCATACTTTAGATATGATTTGGGAGTTGTGCATATATAAATGACCATAGGCATTTTTCTAAAACAATGATATGGTACTCCATAACTCCAGTGCTTTCTTACTGCACAGTATGCTTTGTCTTTGCAATTGTTTCCTGTATTTGTTTAAATTTGACAATTACCACAAAATGCATCTGACTCTGCAGGTCTCTCATAAATAAGTACTGGAAAATTTATAGCTGCGAGCAATCCAGTTATAGAATTATTTTTCACTGTAGGATAGAAAAGTGAAATGAACACAGAAAATGTTTATTTGCTCTTTTTTGTCAGCAGTTTAGTTTATTTTATTTTTCTATATATTTTAAATATTTACGGCTGTCTGAATGTAATTGAACTGAAAAAATATGGTGCTGCTAGCTGATGCTTGAAATGTTTTGTTAATCTATCTAAAAATACAGTATACGGTGCATTATTAATGAGATATCCCAACACTTTATTCCAGATTAATGCCTGGAAAACTCACGTGTGGCACGATGAGAGCCGAAGACCTAAGAAGAAAGAATTTAAGCTCAGTGTTATTGCCAAGTAAGAGACTGAGATTGTCAGCACAGATATGTGAATGGGAATGGAGCTTTTCCACTTGTTATGTCATTAAGTGGTCGCAGTCACATTCATCCTCTGTGACATGTTTAGGGAGTTTTCAGCTTTGCAATAATGGAACAAGTTTTCTGATGAATTGCGATAAATCTCCGTATCCATTTGTTCTGGTAGCTGTGTACTGTGGATATACATAAATGGTGCTGAGCTCTTAGGAAATAAACTATTAATCAGTTTACAGAAATGGATTGATCTGAGGTGTGTTGCCAGTGTTTGACATGTTTAACTTATGTTTTAGGGCTGTGTTCTTTGCTTCTTTACTTGTGAGGAAATCTATGGCTGCCAGGATAAAGGCCACAATCTTGTACGCCACCGAGACCGGAAAATCAGAGACACTGGCAAGAAAACTGCACACGTTATTTAGCTTTGCTTTCAAAACCGAGGTAGGTAAAGTCAAACATATATATTATCACTAAAGGGGCAACTATATTGCGGTCATATATAACAGAAGTGTACATTTACTTTGGTGGCCTCTGATGTAAGAACTGGTTACTTAGCCACTGCAATGAATGCCCCAATATTGTGATGGGGTTCATACTGAGCTGTGTGGCAGTGCCTTTATTTTGCTGCCCAGTGGAATCCAGACCTTGGTGGCCACACACAGGTTTATTTACTAAAGCTTGTTCACTCTGCCCCAATTAGGTTACAGGTTTTACACTCTGGTCACATCGGGTGCGACTTGGCATGCAATTTGCATGCCATGTGACTTGCAAATCGTATGCCAAGTCGCACCCTATTGTCCGCTATTAGAGCGGTCATATCGGTGCGGTTCCGACTTGGTTGGAGCGGCACCGATTTCTAAAGTAGTACATGCACTACTTTTGGTGTGATTTGCATAGACATCGGTGTCAAATGTCTTGCAAATCGCACCTCAAATCAGCAACTCACCTGACTTTGAAATCGTGCGACTTCACTGCAAGTCATACGATTTCAAAATGGGCTTTGATGTGACCGGGGTGTTATTGCTACAGCTTAATTGAACAAGCTGAGGTTAGAAGTTGATTGGCTACCATGCACAACTGCACAAGATTCTGAGTGAACCAGCTTTAGTAAATAAACCCCACAGTTCTGTACATATCCAGGGAGTTCTGCAAGTGACTGTAGTATAATGCTTAAGAAATCTTATCTTATGAAATACATAGAAATGATGGAATGAGTTGGTATTGCTCTTAAGTTGACACGAAGCCATATCCTTAGTCTTCAAAAATAATTCAAAAATCCACTACATAATGGCCCTGTAATATGTATATTTTTTTGTTTCTTAACCTCTCCTTTCCCCCATCACTTCCATTTCTTTGCAATGAGCAGGGCACTTTAGTCATGGTCATATGCACTGCTCTATGCACATTAAAAACCCCATAGTCCATAACACACAGTACACCATGGGAGCAAACAAAACAGGGTGGCTACATTCCTAAATACAGTGGGACCATGGAGAATGAATGTAGTCACCTTCTAACAGAAAGTTGGATCACAACAAGAAAATACAAATAATTTGGAGATTTGGAGGAGGCTGAAAGCAAAAGAAGTCACTTTTTCAGTTAAGGCTACTTTCATATTTAGGAGTTTTTCAAGCGTTTTTGCGTTAAAAAAAGTGCCTGAAAAGCTCAAGAAAACTGCTTCCCTGTGTATGTGAATGTATATCTATGTATGTTTTCACACTGAGGTGTTGCGCTTGTGGTACGGTGTAAAAGCTCCTGCTTGCAGCATCTTTGGGGCATGTTTGGAGAGTTAAAAAAAACACCCCAAAAACTGCTCTTTCCATTGAAATCAATGGAAAATGCCTCAACAACGCCTCTGAGAAGCGTTTTTTGGTGCAGTTTTAAGTCATGTGTCCTTTAAAAAACGCAGCAAAAACATGCTAAAAACGCCTATGCGTTTTTGAGGCGTTTTTGCAGCGTATCAGTGTGAAAGTAGCCTACGTACTTGCTCAGAATTTTTGTTAAACCAGAGTTTAGTGTTACATTAAATGTTGTGATCTTGCACTTTAGAGGCGTTTTTTTGCGGTGTATCAGTGTGAAAGTAGCCTACGTACTTGCTCAGAATTTTTGTTAAACCAGAGTTTAGTGTTACATTAAATGTTGTGATCTTGCACTTTAGAGGCGTTTTTGCGGCGTATCAGTATGAAAGTAGCCTACGTACTTGCTCAGAATTTTTGTTAAACCAGAGTTTAGTGTTACGTTAAATGTTGTGATCTTGCACTCTGTGTTTCTCCGCTCTTGGCAGAAATGGCTTACCCACCCATGTACACTATAATGTTCCCTGATCACACTTATGATTTATTTTATAAGATGAACTCCTTCAAAATCCTTATTCCCTAGGACCAGGTAGTTACAGTTCTCTGGTTTTCTTACACTCATATGTTTGTTGGTTATACATTTATTTACTTCTTAGGGATAGGTGGATTTGCTCTTATTTTTTACTGTATAAGATGTAAGGCTTATGCTCTGTTAATAAGATGATGTGTTAAAGTATCAGACACAAGATCCTATCTCATAATGTGTATTGTATCCTACCTGTTTTAAAGGCCTTCCTTTGTAACTTGTTTTCTTCGAAATTAGTAACGATGAATAACAACACGACTGTTGTGATTCTAGGGTTAGGTCTTTTTTATTGTTCCACAAATGTTTTGTTGAAAAAGATATAGCAGCATACAGAAATGGCACCAGTTATATTGCGTTCCAGGAGAGAAAGGCAAACACATAGCACATCACAACTGTGTAAGAAAAACTATTTTATGTAAACTGTAGATATTTCAAGTAGATCCCTGGAGGTAGGTTACCCAAAGCATCAGAATGGAATGGGGAGCAAGTTGAATTGTGAAAAAAGAAAGCTGAGATAGGAGAAATAGAAAAAAAGGATGGCAAGGTTGGGGGTTAAGGGGGTAGGGGTCTGAGAAGGCACAGGCGAAGGAAAGCCATGGGAAAACAGCGCCTACTCTTTGTATCTGGCCCCTATACGCTGGAAAAGATTACACTGTCTTTTAACTCAGGAGATATTTCTCCCTTTCTGGCCCAAAGCACCCTCTTATGTCAGGATGTGACTGGATGTCAATGGAACAGGAAGTAAATTCTTCCTAATCAGTGTGCAGACAGCACAAAAAAAGACTGACAGGCTTCAATAAATATTGCCAAAAAAAAACCCGCAACCCTGGATGGGCATATACTGTACCTTGACAATTAAGTATTTTGGACACACCATCCTTCTGCCTTTCACCAGGAGCTAATTCAATTACATGAAAAATACTTCATACAGTTTCTAATAATACTTAGTCACATTCATAGTTACATAGCTACATAGTTAGTCTGGCTGAAAAAAGACAAAAGTCCATCCAGTTCAACCATTTAAAAAAAAAAAGTTATAATCCTATACCTACAGTTGATCCAGAGGAAGGCAAAAAATCCCCCAGCAAAGCATGATCCAATTTGCTCCTGCAGGGAAAAAATGCCTTCCTGATCCTCCAAGAGGCAATCGGATATTCCCTGGAACAACTTTATCTATAAATGTTAGTATCCAGTTATATTCTGTGTATCTAAGAAAGCATCCAGGCTTTTTTTTAAAGCAATGCACTGAGCTGGCCAGAAAAACTCTTGAGGGAGTCTATTCCACACTTTCACAGCTCTTACTGTGAAGAAACCTTTCTGTGTTTGGAGATTACATTTCTTTTCCTCCAGACGTAAAGAGTGCCCCCTTGTCCTCTGTGATGACCTCAGGGTGAATAACTCTACACCGAGTTCACTATATGGACCATTGATGTATTTATACATGTTGATCATATCCCCCTTAATCTCCTCAACTGGACTTGTTCTGTATTGCTAAAGTTGTTGTGTATCTCATCCAAGTACCTATGTTTTAATGAGTCACCTTAATCCAATCACCATGGAACATGTCCAAGAACAGGATGAGAGGTGTGAAATTTCTTACATAATTCCATTCTTTGGTTGAAGGTATAAATTATATAAAAAATATGTCCCTTAAAATAATCTGGACTACAGCATATTATAAATGTTTTTAGCTGTGGTTATGGTTATTATCTGTTTAGATGTAGAAAAACCCCCCAAAAACCAAGCTTGTGTCTCTAAGATCACTAAAGGTTAAAAGCTGCAACCACACGCTGAGATATTTATCACAATAGTCACAGTAATACATAAAACATGTTGCATTATTATACAAAAGCCAATATGAAACAAATCAAATGTAAAAGTCCCATTAACTGGTGAAATAGTCCACTCTCTGAGCAGATTCACAGCAAATTAATATGTCCTGAATTGTGTTCCCACACCAGAAAGAATCTCCACCACCACCAAATAGCCACAAATGAAGCTTTACCAAAATTATATGACTCTCTTACGAAGGGAAGTCATATGCAGCATATGATTCCAATGGTCAGCTTAGGCAAAGCTTCTGACTTCCTCCAACAGGCTTAGTGGTTGGCCAGAGGCGTTAATGCTCATATACTGTATATCTTCCATCAACTTCCACATCTCCATATGTGCTCAGAAAGAAATAGGAGAACAAACGCTCCACATAGTATGAAATCCAAAGTATGAAATGTATTAAATTCTAAAATGCACTTACAAATAGAGAACAGAGTACTGCAGAGTAAAAAAAAAAAACAGTTCCAGCCATCACAAAGGCTCACTTCAGAGTCATTTCCTATAGCGTGATGACGTTAACATGTGGTTCCAACATATGCATTTCATCAGATGTGATGTGTTCTGGGACATGGGTGCCATGCGGATACATTTCTCCTTATATACTCAATTGTAATGAAGACTCATTTTGGTGAGCCAAGATCAATATCTCAAGCAAAACACCAATTAATCCATTCATAACCCATCTAGAATATGCCCAAATCTGTCTTACACCATACCATGTTGATGGTGAGTGCCACCTTTCACTGTTATGAATTCAGTTGAAATGAGTGATTTTTTTTACTGTGTCCTTTTAGGTTAACTGCATGCAAGATTACAATATCAGCAATCTGAACAAAGAAACTCTCCTTCTAGTAGTTACAAGTACATTTGGAAATGGTGACTGCCCTGGTAATGGGGAGGTAAGCTTCATGTAAATGTTTGGATGGAAGTCAAATAATGAAAATCAGCACTTTAAAGAACAATGACATAAAAATACAAACATTTATGTAAAAGAGCACAGGAAATAGGTGTAACACTCAAATATATTGCTGTTTTCCTAGCACACTTAAGGAGCTAAAAGCAAACATTTCATTTTTGCTGTGAGGTAAAGGATGTTTCCTGTACAATTACTTTACCATTTTCAGGGAAAAAATGCCCATAAAAGATTATAGACTACAGAATACTGATCCAAGTCTAAATCCTAGATTTTGGACAAATAGACCAAAGTGATTCAACTGTTTTGTTAAGTTTAGCTCATAAAAGTCCCAAGGCTCAAGATTCCCTTTACTGAATTCTGAATAAAATATTCTGAAATATCGCTAAATGTTTTCTGATGTCTGGAGCTCTTATTATGACCATAAGTGTTTACTGGATTGATAAAGGCTGAGCAGTATATTAGGTAGTTAAAGTGCATCGATCAGTAAATTTACAAGCCTGCATGAATAAATTCATGACAAAAAAAAATAGCTTTTACCTTAACCACTTCCCACTCATAATCTGTTTATCATTGGGTGAGAGTTACTAAAACTGGTTTACACAGAATCTGGTACAGCTGTGCATAGTGACCAATAAGCTTCTAGGTTTTACTGTCAAAGTTTAATTTAACAAGCGCAACTTAGATGCTGATTGGCTACTTTGCACAGCTGCACCAGATTCTGTGTGCACCAATTTTAGTAAATTTCTTTCCCCTCCCCAATGTTTTCCAGCACAGTGACCCACATCAAGGATACATTATTAAACATCCTCCCATTGAGAACAGGTGCTGACACTTTGGGGGGATTTACTAAAACTTTGACAATAAAACTTAGAAGCTTATTGGTTACTATGTACAGCTGCATCAGATGCTGTATGCACTAGTTTTAATATATCTCCCCCCTTTTGTGCGGCTGCTCGCTCCCAATGTAGACTGTTACTGACAGCTGGGGTCCTCACTATTGATCAGGTATAAATCAGAGAACCACCAGCCCTGATGTGACATAACATGACATGCAGGCTATTGCCTTCACTGACAGAAATGAAGGCAGCAGTGTTCACCTGCAGTGCCATCTATTAACCTCTTCCCGTCCGCCTTATAACAGAAGTACTGCTACAGGACGGGACGGGTGTTCAAAATCACGTGTATATACGTGATTTTGCATTTCCGGGTAGGGGGTGTACACACTCTACCCATGCCACCATTCGCAGCCTCGGCTGTCAATCACTGGGTCCTGGCTGGTGATTACTTGCTGGCACCCAGTGATTGCCAAGCATCTCCGAGAGGGGGGAGAACTGTTTGTAAACAAAACAGTTCTCTCCCTTGTCAGCTCCTGCACATACAAAGCTCACTGCCATACAAAGCAGTGTGCTTACACTGAAACACAGACACAGCCCATGTAGTAAAACATACACAGTTATCCCTTTGATCGCCCCACATGTTAACCCCTTCCTGCCCAGTGCCATTAGTACAGTGTCAGTGCTTTTTATTAGCAACAATCACTGTATTGGTGTCACTGGGGATGTCAGTGACACCAAGTCAGTTTCCCCCAGTGTCAGAATGCCCGCTGCAGTCCCGCAGTCTTGCTATAAGTCACTGATCACCGCCATTACTAGTAAAAATAAAAAAATTCCAGTATCTATACTGCCATTTGTAAATGCTAAAACTTTCACGTAAACCAATTAATTTACACATATTGAGATTTTTTTTTTAGCAAAGACATTTATTTATTTATTACAGGTACTTATATAGTGCCATCAATTTACGCCGTGCTTTACATATATATTGTACATTCACATCAGTCCCTATCCCTCATACACATACTAGGGCCACTTTAGACAGGAGCCAATTCACCTACCAGCATGTCTTTGGAGTGCGGGAGGAAACTGAGTACCTGGAGGAAGCCCACGCAGGTGCAGGGAGAGCATGCAAACTCCAGGCAGGTGGTGCCATGGTTGGGATTCGAACCCACGACCCTAGTGTTGCCAGGCGGAAGTGCTAACCATTTAGCCACTGTGCTGCCCGCATGTAGCAGAATACATTTTGGCCTAAATTTATAATTAAATTTTATTTTTTAAATTTTTTTACTGGACATGTTTAATAGCAAAAGGTCAAGAATATTGTTTTTTTTTTCTCAAAATTGTCGGTCTTTTTTTTTTTAAAAAATGGAAAAGCAATCAAATACCACTGAAAGAAAGCTCTATTTGTGGGGAAAAAAAGGACGTAAATTTAATTTGGATGTAGTGTTGCATGACTGTGCAATTGTCAGTTAAAATAATGCTTATCATTTTTTTTGTTAGCAGACCGGATTGGAGGCAGGTATGTCCATTTGCACCCGCTGGTCCATAGGAATACATGCATCCGATCAGGTCTCCCTTAAAAACTAACAGGCGGACTTGATCAGATCGCCCATGTGAAAGGGGCCTTAAATGCACATAAAACAGATGTGAAAAAGTACTTTCAATTGCATATTTAGCGGACCAACAGGAAGAAAATAGTTCATCATTGCCAGGTATACAAAACAGTCATGTAACTGTCAAAATCAGCTGCATTATTAAAATTAATAAAACAGAAGCAGAAGCATTCTTATACTGCAGAAATACTAATTATTTAGATATGTCTTAGTGCTGTTAAATTTGGCTTGTCGTGTTCCAGTCAGGAGAGTGTGACAAAGGAGCATCTTGGGAGCATTGCCAGGCCAGGCAGATGAATCCACATTGAATATAGTAGCCTGGAAAACAGCATACCAAAACAGAAGAATGTTTGGAGCAATGTTTCATCATTCAGAATAATTTCTGCTTCTCACCTGCATAGAAGGGAGCAGTGCCCACATGTCTATGACAAACAGAGCAAGTCCTTGTCTAAAGCACTAGTGGTATAAGAGATCCCTACTTCCCAAGATAGATAGATAGATAGATATGATAGATATAATAGATAGATAGATAGATAGATAGATATAATAGATAGATAGATAGATAGATAGATAGATAGATAGATAGATAGATAGATAGATATAATAGATAGATAGATAGATAGATAGATATGATAGATAGATAGATAGATAGATAGATAGATAGATAGATAGATAGATAGATAGATAGATAGATTGGGTTATAAAGCTCAATGCAAGGTATACGCTGACTCTTTACTTTTTATTTTTTAGAAATTCAAGAAATCATTGTTTACCCTGAAACAACTCCACAGTAAAGTAAGGTACGTAGGCATGAAGTATGTAACAATGTATTTACATTTATCACTTCTGCATTTGTTTCTTCTTCAAGTTTAGGATACGTTTTTCATATCAGATGATTCTATAAGAGCAGGACTCCTTTTTCACATACAATGACAACAGATTCCTTAAGCCGGCCATAGACAGATCAAAATTCAGCCAGTTGTGCAGGAACTAAATAAATTTCAATTCATGTTTGGGCAGACTAGCTCTATCAATCGACTACAAGCAGCCTGTTGGGTTTTTTTTGTGCGATCACTGCCACCAGCTATAACTGCCAGCAGTGATTATAGCAAACGTGCACACAGAGATGGAGGCGGTCATTCATTTTGCTCCAAACCCCTCCATCCTGTATCTCTCTCTCCCAAATCATATTCCTCCGATATCCCCCCTCCCTCTCTGTTGAGTGACATGTGGTCTGGATGATGACAGAGATCACAGGCAGCAAACCCATTGGGAGGGCGTCATGGCTATAAACCCCAATAAGCTGGTGCCCATATGTCTGCGAGACTCTTGCTTGGAAAGGGATCATAAAGCCATAAACCAAGTCCCTGCTGAGCCTCAAAGACATTCCAGATAAGCAATAAAGCAGACATCACATTCAGGACCCACTTTCCCCTATGATTACATATCTTGGAATATGAGAGACGTACATAAAAACCGGGCATATATTCAGATTGGTCTTGGTAATACAAGTCGTCTGATATATTACACTATACTATCTAACATATACAGGAAAGCAGAGAAAATGATATCTCCTTAACCGTCACAACAGGTATGTCATATTTCATATGTAGACGTTCAGCAGAAGATTCTGCTTATTAATCTACTCGTGGATAGAATGTTATATGTATCCAGGGTAAGTTATGAGCCATGACATCAACTGCGAGGGTTTTTGGTCATAGCTTGGGTCTCCACCTGCAACACCCGCCCAAATGAGGCAATTGGTTCTCTGCTTCAGGGAGACACCCTGCTGAGTTCCTAGAAAAAGCTAAGCTAAGCTGAGTTGAGTGAAAGTTGCAGATTCTCCCTTTTAACATCGGAACTAACTTTGGGAGATAAGGCATCCTTTTGGCACAGGGAACCTGATCTGCTTAACCCAAGGCTTTTGGCAAGTACTTTATCTAACTAAATTCCTTTCTGTTATCTCCTTGCTGTGTTATTGCTCTCTGTATATTTATATATATATATATATATATATATATATATATATATATATTGGCTACATCTTTTCTGTAAATATTTTTATTGCACCCTTTTGACCTTTTAGTAATAAATCTTACTTTCTGAAAGTGTTGAACTGTTTCTAAAGCTCTTTAATGCAAACTAAGAACCCCTGCCTCTGAAGAGCGCTACTGTGTGTGTGTTTTAAACTTCGGTATATCTCTGCCTGCAGTGACAGTGGTATACCGACGCTTATGCAAACATCATAGTGTTATTGCTGATATTGCCGAGTTTCCTCTTTCTCTGTACAAAAGGAGTTGGTGGCAGTGTGAAGGGTTAATTGCATAATTAACCTGACCCAGTAACAATTGCTCCCAGGCTGCAAGTACACAGATTGTGGTCCATTAGCTGGAACATCTTTGTGCAGGGTGCAGCTGGGCGTGGCATTGTTATGCACGTGACAGCGCGGTTTTTGATTGGCTAGTCCTTCGATCACAAGTTTGGTGAGAATGCCTGGGGCCTGATAGTCACAGTGATAATTGTATTCTGATGGCAGAGAAACCTCCAGCTGCCAGAATACAATAGTACAGCGGGAGAGATTCCTCCATCAACACTGACTGTATATATGAGAGAATCAAGTGATTCTCCTTCAATCTGTGGTTGAAGGAAAGAAGGTTGCATAGTGTATGGTCAGCCTTAAAAATGCCTTAAAGTGGTTGTAAAGGCTCATGTTTTTTTACCTTAAAGCATTCTATGCATGAAGGTAAAAAATATTCTGTGTGCAGCAACCCCCCCAGCCCCCCTAATTCTTACCTGAGCCCCTTTTCGATCCAGTGATGTGCACGAGAGCCTTGACTCTCCCAGGTCTCTCCCTCATTGGCTGAGACAGCATTGGTAGCCAATGGCTCCCTTTTTTGTCAATCACAGCCAGTGAGCCAATGAGGAGAGATCAGGGTTCAGAGCCAAGCCATGCTCTTTGTACACACAGAGCAGCTGCTCAGGAGAAAACCTTCTCAAGTGCCCCAATGCTTTGGGGCACTAGGGAGGATGGAGGGGCAAGGAGCACCAGCAGGGGGCCCGGAACAGGCTGAAATTTGATCCATGTGTACCCAGCTTTATTAGAGCAATAAAGTTTGTTCAATGTGGGAAACCTGGTTGTCCAGTCTACTATTGTATAGTTCTAGTGGTACTCTGTCCTAACCTAACCTAAAATACTGTACCTGCCAATATTCCTAGATTTGCAGTGAAAATGCCCAACATCAGCCATTTGAAGTTTACTGCCAAACTAATGACCCCATCTAAAGAAATCAAGGATTGCTGGTAAACAAAACTGAAGAATGGAGGGATTATAACACATGAAAGGAAATACCTTTGGGTTAAAAAAAAAATTTTTTTTTGTTTTAAATCACTTAAATCACTGAAGTTGTGTCTTGTAGATGCCCTACATAGTAAACTCTTTGCAGCCTCACTACTGAGTTTGCACTGTCCAGGTCCTGCACTTGCCACACATACTTGTCATCATTCTCCAGTCATTCCTGTGCCCATACTCATACTCCAAACATATTACAAATGCATCCATATGAATGATCGTGGACTTTAGGTCCTGGCCAAGATAGAAAAGAAAAGGCCTTGTGACACCTGGCAGGGCTGTACAGTAAAGATCTCAGGATTGGGGCTGCAGCCATGAACCCACATGGAAATTCACTATGGACAGCTAAGTAAAAGACAACTTCACTAAAAGTGAGATTGTTAAATAATTTTTTGCTTGAAACATGTCATAAATACTGCTTTTTTTTATACCAGGTATGCAATTTTTGGACTTGGTTCCAGCATGTATCCACAGTTTTGTGCTTTTGCTCATACTTTGGACCTGAAGATGGCACAGCTTGGTGCTTCCCAGATTAGTCCAACTGGTGAAGGGGATGAGCTCAATGGACAAGAAGAATCTTTTTCATCATGGGCTGTTCACACATTTAAGGTAATAAGTGAAAGCAGCAAGTACACATGCTAATACTATCCTGGTAATATTGTGTACCAAAGTCAGAAAGTCCATTCAATATTACAATTTACTCTCACCAACCACTTTATTAAGTACACCTTGCTAGTACCGGGTTGGCCCCCTTTTGCCTTTAGAACTGCCTTAATGCTTTGTGACATAGATTTAACAAGGTGTTGGAAACATTCCTCAGAGATTTTGATCCATATTGACATGAGTTAATGTTGCCTTTCTATCAATTTGAACCAGCTGATCTCTGACATCAACAAAACATTTTCATCCACACAACTGCTGCTCACTGGATATTTTCTTTTTTTTTTGGACCATTCTCTAAAAACCCTAGAGATGGTTGTGCATGAAAATCCCAGCAGATCAGCAGTTTTTGAAATACTCAGACCAGCCCGTCTGGCACCAACAACCATGCCACGTTCAAAGTCACTTAAATCCCATTTCTACCCAATTCTGGTACTCAGTTTGAACTTCAGCAAGTTGTTTTCACCATGTCTAGATGCCTAAATGTATTGAGTTGCTGCCATGTGATTGATTGATTGATTGATTAGCAATTTTTGTTACCAACCAATTGAACAGGTGTACCTAATAAAGTGGCCGGTGAGTGTATATCTGTAGCTAGTCTATGTCCTTTTAAACCAGCTTCTTCTCTTAGTAGTTCTGAGGAAACTTGAATGAAGCATCCTGCTTTTGAGTTGAGGGAGCTGGAAGGGGTGCAGCAGAGGGGAGGTGGGAGCAGTGCAGTGGGTGTCTGAAGACAAAGAGGGGGATTCGTGAACATAATTAAAAAATTGGGAACTCAGTGGAGCATGCTGGGAGATGATGACATAATGGGGTTGATTTACTTAAGGCATTGGATGTTCATTCTGCAAAATAAGTTGCACTTTGCAAGGAAATTTGTCACAGAGCTTAGTGAATGAGATAAAGCTCTTTTGACTTCCAGGAAGCAATCATTTGCAAGCAAAATTGTTTTTTTTTTTATTTTCTTTGCACATGATTGGGTATTCTTTGCAAAGTGAAACTTCACCACATTCTGTAAGCTGATCACGCTCTTTATGGGTGCTCAGCCTATTTGCCTATAGTAAATCAACCCCAATGTGTTTAAAACAATTTATTAAAAAATGTACATTGTTTACCTCTGCACTCCCCTATCTTTTCTAATCAAACCGTGTTAATCTAAGCTGCTGTGTTTATTGTCAGTGATCAAAGTGATATAGTCAGTCACTTTGTGGTTGTAGATTTCCTAAAATGACAATGGCGTTATGATATGCTGCCATTCTACTTGTATAAAGAAGCAAGGCTCTCCACCAACTTGCCTTGACTTTCACTTTAACACTGTTAAATCACTGTGACATTGTCCTTTGACTTCCTTGTGTGTATTCTAGGCTTCTTGTGAAGCATTCAAGATTAGAGACAGACAAAACATTATACTGCCAAAATGTTATACGTCAACTGAAACATGGAATGCAGAAAACTATCGCCTGGTCAGCGAAACCCAGCCTTTAGAATACATCAAAGGTATTTCTACAGAAAGACAAATAAAAATATATGTGAAGCTTAATTTGTAAAAGAGTTTTTCATTACAGTTATCTCCCTATTATTGCCATTTTTATCTTTTCTATTGCTCATAATGACTTTCTTTCTATAAAGACAATCCTAATACATTGAGTATTGAAATCAGCACAGGGGAAGCCTGTGCATATATAGTAGCACCTTGAAAAGAGTATGCGTTACATTATCTCCACTCATTAAATGCAGTGGGACTTGTATAAGTTCATTTGGGCCAATGACTCTAATGTAGCTGAGGTAGATTGCATGCTTGGGTGACATTGCATCCTGAATAAACTGTACATGCTATTTGCTGTGGTGTTTGTGCTGTACAGTTTGATTCTTTGAAAACCAATGATGTTGCCCAATTTGGGTAAAACATATTAAATGATAATATGCCATATGTTCATGGTGCCCAACATGCAGTGCTGAAACAAGTTCATCTAGAGAACAGGGAAAACATGCCAAACTGCGACCCCCCCAAGATGTATGCGCATTATGTATCAGCAAAAATCCCCCAGCAGTTAGGTGAACAGTTGTATGGGCTAAGCACTGTTTTACTTTAAGGTGAGAGTAGAGCTAGAAACATGGGTCACAGCTTCTCAACATAATGATTCTTCAGAGGTCTTCTGACCAAGGTAATGGTATGATCCCCAAAATGAAGGTGCTATTCAGCCAGTGACAGACATAGAAGGAGTGTGCGCATAACTATTCTTCATGGAGGCATTTTCATTAAAGTAAAGGGGCATGGAAGAGAACCTGACAAAACACAGATACTTTATACATATATAAATAAATAATACTTTGCAGCTCATATTTCCCAGGTTATTGCACCTGCTGACCTCTAGGTCTAAAGACACCAGCCACAGACTGCTTGCTGGGAACTGCTAGGAAAGGTGGCGTACATGTTTCCAATGACTGCATGTTTCCCTTTTGCACCATTCTTCACTGTACACTTGGCTCATTGTTCCTCAACATCTGCCTAATAGTAGAGGTCAGGAAAAGGTGTGGATTCTGTGTGCTAAGGAAACAGCCTGTATAGTAATGTGCCTATTAACGGCTCAGACTGAATGAGAGAATAAATGTATTGTGCCACAGGGGATAGAAACTTTTATTAATAATACAGATAAAACAATGAAATATAGGTACAGTTCCTTAGATGTTTTTACAGCTTTGTGCATTTATCATATGCATATCGTAATGAACATATTAATGATAGAGAGATTGCAAGATGTGCAAAGTACTACATTTCACTAGATTTGCATAACTTTCAATAATTTTGCAAGGATCAATGTTTACTTTTGATATACAGGTATGCCTTTATGTAACTGTTTTTTTTTATATTTTACCAGTAGAATTGCTACATTTAATTCACAATGTATGATATCAACAAATAGGTGCAGTTTTGCTAATGTATACAAATATATTTTGCATACATACAGTATCTGTATCAGATACATATATATAAATAACCCCAATTCTAAAAACGTTGGAACACTGTTGAAACAAAATTCAATGATTTAAAAATCTCATAAACTCATATTTTATTCAAAATAGAAAATAAAAAAACATATCTAACGTTTAAAATGAGAAAATGTACCATTTTAATAAAAAAAAAAAAGGTAAATTTTAAAATAAATGGCAGCTAGTTTCAAAAAAGTGGGGACAGGACTTCAAAAGAATCTGTAGAAATCTCTGTGCGCAAAGGACAAAGCTGAAATGCAATACTGGATGCTCATGATCTTCGGGCCCTCAGGTGACATTGCATTAAAAACAGGCATGATTCTGCACTGGACATCACTTCATGGACTCAAGAGTACTTCCAAACCGTTTGTGAAAACAGTTCGATGTGCCATCCAAAAATGCATGGTAAAACTCAGTCATGCAAGCAAAAAGCCATATCTGAAAACGATCCAAAAACGCCACCTACTTCTCTGGGCCAAAGCTCACATAAAATGGTCTATTGCAAAGTGGAAAACTGTTCTGTGGTCAATCAGTTCAAAAGCTGACATTCTGTTTGGCAAACATTGGTGCTGCATCCTCCGGACTAAAGAGGAGAAGGTCCTTCTAGCTTATCAGTGCTCAGTTCACAAGCCTGCATCTCTGATGATATGGGGGTGCATTAATGTGAAAGGAATGGGCAGCTTGCACATTTGGAAAGGCACCATCAATGGTAAATTATATACTGTATTCAGGTTTTAGAGCAGCATGTGCTCAGGCAAGAATGGGACAATATTTCTCTCCAAAAACTCAAACAACTGCTTTCTTTGTATCTCAGACGTTTACAGTGTTGTCAGAAGAAGAGGGGATGCTACACCATGGTAAACATGTCTGTGTCCCAAATTTTTGGGAACTGGGTTTGTACTTTGCTGGCTTTTTGTTGCCCTGTCCCACCTTTCTGAGATGTGTTGCTGCCCACAAATTCAAAATTACCTTTTTTTTTCTTAAAACTGTTAATGCTAATTTCTACTGTGTCCCAACTTTTTGGAATTGGGGTTTTGTATATATATATATAAATATATATATATATATATATACATATACAGTATATATATATATATATATATACATATATATATATAATACTACAGTATATACGCATACTATATATTTATATTGTATAAACTGTATTTGTAATAGTTTTCAGTTAGTATTACTTCTGCAGAATGCTTGCATTTTCTCCACTAAAAAACTTATTTACCAATTCAAAATTCCTTTTTTTCATTTAGCCCTCTCCATATTGCACTCGAGAACTATCCTAAAGATGAAACTAAAGTCAAGGCAAAATCTGCAAAGTGACAGATCTGGGTAAGTTATCTGCTAAAATAAATAAATTCCCATTATAGCTGTCATAAAGGCATACCTATATGTCAGGATTGCTTCTCTTCATAATAGCTAAGTAAACAACCATAAAGTGTCCTGTCATTTTGTTGCTGTTCATTAAAAATCAGCCATAGGCAACAGAAGATGGTTGGGCATGGTTGCCTGCCTGATCACACTTTAAAATTGTTTTTTTAAGCATAATTTTGCTACCATTACATTATATCTCCTGAGTTTGTCTGTTAATACATCTTGAAGGGAGCAGTCAGAAAGCAGCAAGATACTCCCTGGCACCATCCTTATCTGGAAGTGACAGGTAAAAAAAAATCCATCCCAGGTGATCTCCTGAACCATTAGGTTGGGTTGTCTGTTGGCACCCATGGGCATAATGATCCTTACTTGTCTGTGGGTACATTTAGTTCTAGAATGATTCCTAATTCTGTTTTGGCTCATACAGCAAAAAAGCCCTCCCTCCCTTTCTTCCTAGTTGTAAAGGAAGTAATTATGCTCATACTATAACTATCCATTGTATGAACATCCAGCACAGTTTGAGTTATACTCAAGTAGTCTGCAACATATCTCCACCTCCCTATATGTCAATTCATCTCTGTGCTTTCCTATACAATATTCAATATCTGCTCATCAGACAATGATAACTTCAGTGTAATGAAGTCCCAAAATCAAATTACTTGTTGATTCTGTCAGAGAAAGGAAATCCTGCATACGCAATTAGTCCTATTAGAAGTTCTTTTCTTGTTGTTTTCAGCCTTGCCACTCTGCTAGTGAAACTTTCCAGCGAGAATTACCAGGAAGCTCAGTATCTGCCAGGAGAACATGTTGGTGTATTTCCTGGCAACCAGCCAGACCTAGTTACCAGCATAATTAAACTTCTAAAGGATGTTCCCCCCAACAATCAGGACATCCGACTGGAGACACGCAGCCCACAGGGTAAGAATCTGTTTTGTTTTGGTGAACGCCTTGACTTCCTTCTTGGTATATTCAGATAAGTGTTTCGTCATTTTATAAATAATCTTGGATGTTTTTGTTCTGTCTGATGGAATGACTTCCCAGTTGTGGTAAATTAAGCAATCCTGTTATACATAAAAAGATTTTATATGTATGGATTTATATTCTTTGTTATAGAACATCTTATAATGGGTAATTTTATAAATCTCTACAGGACACTTTAAGGCATCAGTGGGATCAGAGAAACACTCAATTTTCATGGACCCCATAGACATATTGTAAATCTTTGTGACATATAGCATAGGGTATGTGCACATGAGGATCCCTGTCTCTCACATCTCCCATTCTTAAAAAAAATGGTCAAAATTCTAGAAGGAAAGGCCATGCAAAAAATGGTAGATCTCCATTCTTAAATATTATCTTACTTATCTTATAGTAAACTGGAACTGGTTGCCGACACTAGCAATTTTAAGTGCTGGCTGTGGAGGAGGAAGGAGTGATGAAGTGAAGTTTGGGGATTGGAGGGGGGTGGGGGCAATATAAGACATTGTCATTGTGCCCTACATAGGGAAGAGAACAGCATCTCTAATGAAAACCTGCACTGACAAAAATAAGCAGGCCATCTCTGCCAATATCTTAAAATACTAGTTACCTGACTCTAATGCATAATACTTAGATTTATTATTTTCTGTGATCCCAACTATTGGATCAGTGAGACAGTCAGGCAAATAGAATTTTAGGCATATCAGCAATGGTGATCTCCCACTTTCCCCCAAGCATTGTGATCCATTTGCAATTCATTACATACAATTTCATACAAGTCTGTTATGTCTTTTCCTCCCTCCTACTGACACAAGGAAGGTCCCCTTTAGGTTCTTTTGAAATTACCCTTCTGTCTAATGGTGTACAGCATCAAAAAAAGAATATTTATCACAGACCAAGTACAAAAGGACGAACAAGTGAGAAGATACAACAGCACTTAAAAATTAACACAAATATATATTAAAGTGGTACTGAAGGCAAAATCATAAATTACATATACAGTATGATGCAGTCTGTCATTAGCATTTACACAACAGTCTTTGACCTACTCTGTTGATCTACTGGGATTTTCACACACAACCATCTCTGGGGAAATCGAAACTCATCAGACCAGGCAACGTTTTTCCATTCTTCTATTGTCCAATTTTGGTGAGATTGTGTGAATTGTAGCCTCTGTTTCCAGTTCTTAGCTGACAGGAGTGGCACCTGGTGGGGTGGTCTTTTGCTGCTGCAGCCTGTCTGCTTCAAGGTTCAGCATGTTGTGCATTCAGAGATGGTATTCTGCATACCTTGGTTGTAACAGGTGGTTATTTGAGTTACTGTTGCCTTTCTATAATCTCAAACCAGTCTGCCCATTCTCCTCTGATCTCTGACATCAACAAGGCATTTTCATCCATACAACTGCCACTCACTGGAAATTTTATCTTTTATGGACCATTCTCTGTAAGCCCTAGTGATGGTTCTGCGTGAAAATCCCAGTAGATCAGCAGTTTTTGAAATACTCAGACAAGCCCGTCTTGCACAAACAACCATGCCACATTCAAAGTCACTTAAATCTTCTTTCTTCCCCATTCTGGTACTCGGTTTGAACTTCAGCAAGTTGTGCTTACCACGTCTAGATGCCTAAATGCATTGAGTTGCTGCCTTGTGATTGGCTGATTAGCGATTTGTGTTAACAAGCAATTCAACAGGTGTACCTAATAAAGTGACTATCAATTACTGCATGTTACAACTTATTTCAAGCCCAGAAAAGTGTGCTTGCCTATGTGTTATAACTAGACAACCCTGGTGCCAGCCTTATCACAAGAATGTAAACCAATCATTCAAGCAATTCCAAGGCAAACCATCCATTGCCTCCTCCCTTTGATCTGTTAGACTGTGGAGTCAGCTACAGTCTGAAAGTGTACCTAGACATCACAATCATTGCTCAGTCCTACTGATCCTGTAAAGTGACATTGCTAAAGCTCATTCTTTTTATTGTTGATACCATATAATTATTGAATTGCATCACACACAAAAATAACTGCATCTTTCCATATTAGGTACAAAATAATTATAGTGTTATTAGACAGCTCAGTTAAAAAGGCTATTTAAACCAAAGACACAGCAGAACCACTATCAGCATGCAATTGTTACATATGTAGAGCATTATATAATATGTATTTATTTCCGAGGTGTCATTATTGTTCAACAGGCACTGATTATAGAGTAAAGGTTGTTAGACATGCTGATGTACAATGACGTTTATTAAAAGTGTACAACCCTGGTGCATTGTGATTACACTGGAGTAGTTGAATAAATATAGCTTTCTTTGCATTTATGTAAAATAATGAACACCAGCCATTATACTCTGAAATGGGTGTTTTTTTCAAAAGATCATGATAATTTTATGCGATGAAGTCAGCAATAGCCATTCAGTTGCAAAGGCTTATTATATGGTTTAATGACAGCAACCTTCCTTTGCCGTCTCTCATTATATACAAGTAGCACAGAGCAGTTTGGGTTTCGAACTAGCCTGCTTTATTGTATGGTTAGATAACAAAAATAGCTTGCCCAAAGCAAATATCAATAAGTAATAAATCCTAGCCCAGCAAACAAAACCCCTTCCTTGCAGGGAAAGGGATCTTGCGTCCATGTCCCTCAAAACTATTAGTTTTGACTTGGTGTCACAGCTGCTGCCACACAATGACTCTCTGAGGAGAGACATGCTCTGGTTTTCCAGGGTTTGCGACACCCCTGTGAAGGCGGCTACATCTTCTATAAAGAAAAATCACAACAGTGGCCTACCTACCCCTGATTATGACAGCTTCTCAAAAACACAGCCCTTCCTAGCCAAAGTGACTTTCTTGATGCTCTCAGTAGACATGAGAGCATCCTGAGGAAAATGAAAACCATTTCTAAAATCTCCCAGATCTTCTCTCACAGCAGGAAATATTATAATATCACATAGTATAATTTTACCATATATCTGATTAAAAAAAAATTGTTGCGCTGTGTAACTGATTACCTCCACTAAAACAAATAAATAAACAATTATAGTGTTCAAAAACCACTGACATTGTAAATTATTCTCAACAAAACATTTGTGAGTATGAAATGACAACAGTATAAAAGTCCATAGATCTACTGCAGCTTTAGTCCATGAAACAAATTGTCATGGGGACCAGTCTATCATGCTGACATACTTCTGCTTTATATGTATAGGAGACTATACACTAGGACTGGGAAAGGTTTTCTCTTACTAGTTCACCTGAGATTACTTTTTAAACTCATGTCATGCTCCGATAGGGAATAGAAACAATTACTTAAATAAGTAAATTAATTTATTAAATAATTCATTGAATACACCAACCCTTTTAATTCACATCTTTTCGGAGGTATATGCCTCCTAGCATATGAAAATATAAATATTTTCTAGCTAAATATTGAAACCAACTTCATTTATATAAATTAATATTGAGGATATCTGAAGAGAAAATTAATTTCCCCACCTATTACAATAAAATTCTTATATCCATAGCTAAAATAATTCATTTTTATATGATAACTATTACATGAAGATAAAATTAAAATAAACTATAAGATATTAAAAAATTATGCACATTATAAAAGAAGAGGATTTACAAATATTATATACAAGACAAGTTTAATTATGTATATTCCTAATTATTACTAATAAAACTATTACTATCCCACCCCATGATATGATGATGGGAGGCAAAGAATTTTAAATTAAAAATCCATCTCGTTTCTAACTGGGAAATGCCTTTTTTTTTATCACTGCCTCTCCAGTGAGGTATATCTATCAATCCCTATAAACCTTAGGCTCGATGGATCTTTATTGTGTCTCAAAGCATAATGTTTTGATAAATTGTGGTTTGGGTAACCTTTTTTAATATTATCAGTGTGTTCCCTAATTCTTATTTGTAGGGTTCGCTTAGTCTAAGTACAAGTTATAAAGTGCATAATTTCAAAGGATTCATTTGTCACTTTAGATAAAAACGTTTTGCTTTTATGACAGTTATTCCCACTGTTTTACACTTTTTGCATGGAAAAAATCCCTTTAAATCTTCAAACACGCAGTATGTCTTTCATGGTTTGTGAACCGCATTTAGGGCTAAAAAATGCCCTAAATTTGGGTTTTTTTTTATAAACAATAGAAGGTTTTTCAGGAATCTTGCTGTCCAGGATCTTATCACTCTTTATTATGCTTATTCATTAATTTATTAAAAAATTATATTGAATTGAAAAGCTTGTATAGAAAGCCTTTTCAAATTTATTCTCACTTTCTATGTTATGATTATCTTAAAGCAATTATGTTCTTTCTGAATTTGAAATTTACTTAATTTCATCCTTTAATCATCCTTTATAATATCCGTTCTTTTTAAATCTATCCTTCAATATTTCTGCTTGTTGCTGAAAGTCAGAAATATGTAACAATTCCTCAAAAACCTTAAAAATTACCCTTTAGGTATACATCTCAACCACAAGGGATGGTGACAACTTGTGGTCAGTATGTATTCATTTTTGTCTGTGTTTTTACATATGTATTATTTGAAAGGGATTGGTTATCTTTATAAATGGTGAGATCCAAAAAATGAACTGAACTAGAACTTACTTCATAAGACCATTTAAACCTCACACTAGAGTGCCGCTGTGTGGAGTCCCCATTCAGTTGAATGGGACAATGGGAATCATTTCTGTGGCATGTGTACAATGTCCCTCGCACTTGCCTTTGCAGCTTATGGAGGGAGTGGTTTGGGGGATGGTAAGAACATGGCTCAACTACATTTTTTTAATTCCCCCCAATGGCAAGTATAAACAAGCTTTAAATTGGAGCTTAGCCCTCTTACCCCTTACAGCCAAGGAGGCTGCTATCTCATCCTAGGTTTGATCTGCAGTTGCTATGGTGCTGCGCATGTGATCAATTATGACACCAGCCATTTGATGGTTTGGCTGTTAGGGTGAGAGCCCAGGTAAAAGTGACAGTTATCATTAATGGCATGCACTGAATGTAACTGTTTTGGGAAACTGTTAAATCGAATGGGTTTTGTTCCACTTTAAAATGACCAAAGGATTGAGCCCTACCCTTCTTCACCTAAAATTAGAGCGGAACTATAATCACCTAGAATCCAGTGACGTGCTGTCCCCAAAACACGCTGATGAACCCAATGACAGCAGCCGGAGGTTGTTAGCGCCCAGCTGCTGTCATTGGCCATGCAGAGATGACATCACTCTTGCACGTGCGCGGGAGTTCTGTCAGATTTGGTATTGCCGAATTAGTGCAGCTTACTGTACAGGGGCAGACAGGTGATAAGTACTGATAGCTTTAATGCAGAAGAGACAAAGCATATCACTCCTGCATTGAAAATCATGCCTGTACTCCCATTTTTAATGTAGAGCCTAAAGTTCTTCTACTTTAGACAGGGCATTTGATTGAAATGCTCTTTAAGAAATCTATACTATAAAACATATTCAAATATTAAAAAGATGTCAGCATTTTAATATGTTAAAATAAGAGAACTTCAACATAAATTGCTGGTATAGCAGGTAGAGAAATTGTAATAACTAAGGCCCTTTTTACCTCTAGTACTAAATAATCCAGTAGCTATTTACAAAAGTGTCTTTACAAGAGGAATCATCTGAGTAGAGTATACTGTAGGAAGGACATTTGGAACTTCTCAAGGTTACATCATTTATGAAACTTTTAATAGAATCTCTGAAACAGGATAACCGAATAATCCCCAAAAGTTTTCAAGACAATGAAAATTAAAAGCTTTAACTGGAACACTTTGGGATATCTTCTGAATGATTTCCTTCCATGTTGTACTTGCAGGTAACTTCTGGACAGTCAGTGAGAAAATCCCTCCTTGCTCTCTGTTCCAAGCGTTGACTTTTTTTGTAGACATAACTACTCCACCCTCCCAGCTACTTCTGAAAAAGCTGTCACTGCTGGCTGCTGATGCAAAGGATAAACAGAGACTGGAAGACTTGAGCAATGTACGTACAAGGTTCATTCACTCTGCACCTAGCATTGTCCTCTGGTTGTAAGCACAAGACTTTCATTCTATTTTTGGCATGTTGTATGTGTATTTTAGGTGCAGTTAGGATATAAGTGGCACATACCGTATGTATAGAAAATATTTGCATGAAAATATTATTCCAAAGGTAACTTTTTAAAGCAGAAGTAAATTCTAATATAATAAAAACCTTTCGGTCCCCCTGCAATGGAATGTCATAATGTGCAAGTATGCATTGCATACTAGCACATTATGAAAGACTTACCTGTAAAATGCAGCATTGCATCGGTGCCCAGGTCACCACTTGCAGGGCTTCCATCTTCACCCATATATGTACACAATGCCTTGTAAATCATACAAGCATATTCAGTTCTCAGAATGGTGATGGAATATAGCCTTTGTGCAAGTCCATAAATTTGTAGATCAGCAATAGGGATACACACACAATGTCCGGCAACTCCTCGCTCAAGGTTAGGGAAACTCTTCAAGTCATGTAAAGTAGAAAGACAGCAGGGCACCAGATTAGTATTTCTAAAAAATAAACAATACTTAAATGTAGCTCACTCACATGTCAAAAATGCTGTGAAATGCTCCAGTGGTCAGGATGGCATGCACATGCACAGGCTTTTTTAACATGTGAGTGAGCTACATTTAAGTATTGTTTATTTTTTACACAACTAATCTGGCGCCCTGCTGTCTTTCTACTTCCATCTTTACCCAGTCTTCCTTCTGGGTTTGCAGGCATCAGCTGTTTGAATGGCTGAGCTGTGATGACGTCACTCCTTCACATGTGTGCGGGAGCCTTGATCGCGGAACAGCACTCTCAATGGACAGCATACTCGAGTATGTCATCCATTGAGAGCGCTGTGCCCATGCACCAGTGACATCAGCAGCTGCTAGTCATTGGAATATCTCCTTAACAGTTGCACATTTAGGAGATATTCATTGTATCTTGTATTACAACTGATTACTAATTTGTGCAGTTTAATAAGACATCACTGGTACCATTCAAGGCACCATCACCAGAACAAAGAGACCAACAGAAATGTCATCCTGCGGTTAATCCTGATCAGCTGTGCTCCTTTATACTGATGACCATCAGGATCTTATTAGAAACCCACTTTTTCTAATGGTCTTTCCAGTGGGATCTCCTGTGCAGCAGTAATTACTGTCAAAGTGGACCTTCACTCACCTTTTATACTTTATATGTATTTTTTTTATATGTACTCCTTTCCTCCCTCCCTTTCAGAGATTTGCCTTTATCTGTGTAGCTATGATTTGACCTAGGGGAGAATGACGTTCTCACCTGCCTGAAGCCTCCTGGGATAACCATACCATGCATCCCAGAAGGCTTTGGAGCTATAGCATCATTTGGAGATTAATTGCTAGGACCCAGAAGAGACATAGGACCTCTTGATGGCTTCACAAATTAGATGGTGGCATGGGACTCAGTGTGTGTCCACTCTCAGCTGGACACTCTGGATTCGTTTGGTCGGTAAGTATTCTATTTCAGCTAAACCCAGCATATCAGGTAAGAAGAGTTCAATGTTAAAGTTAACCCTGGGGAGAGGCGTGAGAGTTCTCTTTAAGGCTTGCAAAATCAAATCAAAATCAAAACTCAAAATATAAATCTTAAAAGCATCAGAGATTGAGTTTTTTTTATTGTGTATTCAGTTATTTATTTTTTCAGTTTTTCAACAGCTTGATTGCTTACCAGTTTATCCTATGTAAGCTAATTTAAATTCTTTTTTTTTTAGAACATTGAAAAATATAAATCATGGAAGTCCTATAGTTATCCATCAATACTTGAGGTTCTGGAAGAGTTTCCATCTCTGGAGGTGCCTGCTACATTTATTTTAACTCAGCTCCCACCACTGAAGGCACGGTACTACTCTATAAGTTCGTCAAAGGATATGATACCAGGGGAGATCCATCTGACAGTGGCTGTGGTAAACTACAAAACGAAAGGTAATAACAGACCTGTATTAACCCCTCCACTATCTGCTCTCAATCCTGGCTTCACTGATGATCAGGAAAAAGAGTGGCTGCTGATCTTGTGAAAAGATGACGCAGTGGTCACAATGAGCCCAAAAGTTTCACTTAAAAAAAATCAGCTGAATATTCATGCAGATGAATACTGTCACCTTCATGCTGCAATAACACCTGCAGTACCTTTTGTTAATTACTCTAATTGTCTGGTACAATAAAGTAATTAAAAAAACGTAAATTATTTTAAAAATACGAAATAGTCTACCAAATAAAGACCTTAAATATATAGGACTCTCCCTTATGGTAGTAGGGAGATAATAGTGATGCAAAGGGGTTCCTCTTCAGACCATTGGTAGATTTTTTTTTAAACAACTCTGCAGCTGCTGCTTGGTATTTCTTAGCATGATATAAAGTAATTGTGGACTCTGATACTAAAATCAATGGTCTTCAATGGAGTGCTTCTGTGTACACTGTTAGTTACATTGCTCATTGGGTTTACTGGAGTTCTGTCTGTATATCAGGTGTACATAAAATTGCCTATGTATGCAAACCTAAGAGCAGTAGTTCTCAAAAAATGTAACCTTGAAAATATGTTTACTTCATTTTACAATATTTAGTTCAGTACATCAGTACATTACAGGGGCGGACTGACAACTCATAGGGCCCCCGGGCAATAGGGGATCATGGGGTCCCTGTGTCCTTGCCCAAACTCAAAAAAAGCCTATGAAAAAGGTACCAGGGGCATCTCATGGGGCCCCCTACTGACCTCAGGCCCTCGGGCATTGCCCGAGTTTCCAAATGGTCATTCCGCCCCTGGTACATTAATATTCTATAAAAATTATTTTCTTCTGTTTTAGGAGGTCACGGTTCTCTTCACCATGGAGTGTGTAGTACATGGTTTAATACCATCGGTCTCAATGAACTAGTTCCTTGTTTTATAAGAAGGTAAGTATAAAATATAGCTATGTACAATATCCTGGCATACAGTGGTATCTTGGTTTATGTACACATGTCCTTGCACAATAAGTGGAACTAAACACAGGGCCCTGCATTCACTATATCTGGCCTCCCAAAGTACACAGAACATGGAAATGCAATTATTTTAGTAGATATTAACTGCTAAATACCTTTTCTCATCAGCAGTTAGAGCAGTCTTGTGGCTTCTATCTGTGTCCAGCCCAGCACTAGCTAAAGCTTGTAGGAGGAGTTTTATTTCTCTTGTAAGAGGATACAAATACCCTGACCTCTGTCTGGACAATGCTGATTGGCCCCGTGCTGATCACATGCACTCTCTCAAGAAAAAAAAACAAAAAAACCTCTCTAGCAATACACACCACACTGAGCATGTGCATGCCTGAAGTTCAGTCTGGAGATAAGTGGTGGTAACTTGAAAAAATGGAGGAACAGAAAAGAAAGGATCACACAGCCTCTTTACACAATGCAGAGGATTAGCCCCTTAGGTTCCACAGTGAGTATAACAAGCATGTTTTACTGCATATACAGGCTGATTTTACTGTTGTGGGTTTAGTAACACTTTAACTAATGCACCCTTGCAATTTACACTCTGGTATTCCTACCAAGTTCACACCTAGACATGCTTTAATGGCACCCATGAACAAATTGATTGACACAATTCATTTTCTGGTTAAATAAAGAAACGGTATATGCTCTATATTGCTTTTGATGACTATTTAATAAAAAAGGATTATGTATTCCTAACAGAAACATGTTTAATCATTATCTGTGGAGATTTAGAGTGTATGGTTTATCAAACATTTTATTCCAGATTTGATCCCTTCACTCATCATTGGTTGAAGGTTATTCAAATAGGACTTTTAGTAGCATTAGCCAATTTTTACCTTTAAAAAATTGATTTTTCATTGAAAATGTGATAAACTGAAACCTGTTTGGCCAGTTATAAAAAGGAATTAGATCAGATAATCTAAATTAAATGAGAAAATCAATGTGTCTTTATCTGCTGGAGGCTTGGACAGTAGAGCGCAGCAAAACCTCTGCTTCTCTGATGCGTTTTGTTATACTTGATTCATACGTGCCAAACAAATGTGTTAAACCTGGCAGAAATCCAATGAGCTGATAACCTTCTGTGAAAATCACAAGCAGTGTTATCAATCCTTCCCAGTTATCCTCTGTACACCATAATAGAATTCCTCCCCCTATGTTATGGAGATGGAGGGTAAAGTATTCTGTAGTTTATCACATTTCCTGTCAGCACATTGATGGAGTCTTGTCATCCCTGTACAGGAAAGGAGTGCCAGATGAAATTTAGTTTTTTGTTCTTTTCTTTATGTATAATGGTGTGTATCCCATTACCTGTGGGCTACTGCTTTTGCTAAACATCCTCCCTGCAGTGTCTTCTCACTGATGCTGGATACTGTGCTGAACGTACGATGTTGTGAGAGTTAACTGCATCCGCTAGGAAAAGACATAAAACGCCACTTCAGGTCGGTCCCCTCTTCCACTACCATTCACACACTGTCAGGTGCTGGCCCCATCTGTACCAGGCTTCATAGAACAAAAGAACATCCGATTGGCTGCACATCCAATAGAATCACCTTTATTCACAAATTTCTTCTTTATTTACAGTACTCCTTCTAACGCATTTCTTGCTCCATCAGCACTTAGTCATAGTTCATAATATAATGTCATACACAGATATTTATATGAGAGTTAACTGCATCCGCTAGGATAAGTCACAAAACGCAGCTCCAGGTCGGTCCCCTCTTCCACTACCATTCACACCCTGTCTGATGCTGGCCCCATCTGTAACAGGCTTCATAGAACAAAAGAACATCAGATTGGCTGCACAGCCAATAGAATCACCTTTATTCACAAATTTCTTCTTATAAAAACACTTCCACATAACATGGCAAGGAACACAGTACCCCTACTAACGCGTTTCATGCTCCATCAGCACTTAATCATAGTTCATAATATAATGTCACACACAGATATTTATATGTACAAAGATGTGAACAGGACAATTCCTAATTCAAATAACTTGGGAGGACAATCAGAGTGCAGATGCCAATCAGCAGCTGCTACCATGTTCATTTAAAACTACAAAGCAAAAAAAAAAAAAAAAAAACATGGAACAAAGACATTTAAAATCATTAGAACACAATTTCATGCACTTAAACATAACTGCTACAGGACAAATACTGCACCACTCGCTCATCCCCCTCTGCCCTCTCTGCCTTTCACAGAACTCCTATTACTACACGCCCACAATGCATTGTGTTCTGTGAATGGGCGATGGAATCCTGTCATTCAACTGCTCCACCGCCCATTCACAGAACCTTACATTTTGGGGGTGTAGTGATAGGAGTTCTGTGAATGGCGCAAAGAGCAGAAGGGGGCAGGTAAGTGGTGCAACTTTTCTTTGTAGCAATGGCTGTACTTAACCCTCACAGCGCCAATATACAGCGACTCAGGATGGTATCCAGCAGGTATAAAGTGGCACTGTCGGACGGATTTTTAGCAAAAACTGCATATAATGAGGTTGATTTACTAAAGGCAAATAGACTGTGCACTTTGCAAATAGTTTAGTAAATAAAATGTGGCTCTGTTGACTTCCATCATCCAATCATGTGCTAGCAAAAATACTGTTTTTTTTTTCAATTTCTTTTCATTTCTTCTTTTTTTTTTTTTAACAATTTTATTTTAGCCAAAAAGCAATTTGTGTAAAAGTTGGTCACCTGATTGATTTCAATAGCTATGAGGCAACAATACAATCCACTGAGATACGATTTATTCTTACATTATTTTTATTGGATGAATACCTGAGTGCACAGTAATGATGTAAATGTAACTATTTTACAGCACAAACACATTCCATCTTCCAGAGAGCCCTTCAACTCCGTGCATTTTGATTGGTCCAGGTACAGGAATTTCACCATTCAGAGCATTCTGGCAACAAAGATTACATGATCTGGAAAAAAGAGGTATGACTCATGAATTTTGAATGAAATATTAGTTAGGTTAGACTTATCATAAAGTTATATTAGCAACTAGGTAATAAATTGGCATCCATGTTCATATTAAGATGCATTGTGGATCAGTTATTAAACCTGGAGCAAATCATTTAGTGCTGCTGTTCTTAACAATCAGTAATTTGTTAAATTCAATTATTTCACCTGTACTGAAGAAAGGTCTTATGACTGGCAGTTATGAATTCATGAACTTGCCTTTACACTGGCATTTTTACCATGATCCACAATATAACAAAAGATAGGGCTGTCAGGAGCCTTAAAGGGAATGTATCGGCCCATTCAAACCATTGCGTTGCACAGGGGCGGACTGACAACTCATGGGGCCCCCGGGCAATAAGGGATCATCGGGCTCCTGTGTCCTTGCCCAAACTCAAAAAAGCCTATGAAAAAGGTACCAGGGGCATCTCATGGGGCCCCTACTGACCCCGGGCCCTCGGGCAGTGCCCGAGTTTCCAAATGGTCAGTCCACCCCTGACGTTGCTGTCTATAGAGTGCATACATTACATCACATAATGGACTTTACTTACTAAAGCTGGAGAGTGTAAAATCAGGCTCACTTCTACATAGAAACCAATCAGCTTCTAACCTCAGCTTGTTCAGTTAGGCTTTAGCAATAAAACCTCAAAGTGTCTTGCAGTGCGGTGCTGTAAATGAAATAGAGCAGGTGCAACTTCTTCTGCATTTGGTCTATAATATAAAAAGCACCACGCAACCAATCCAATACTATTCAAATAAAAACGGAATGCATCGAATCTAGAGTGAAAATACAGAAGTGTCCCATGCACATATATGTGAACTATACACATATAAACATATACAAGAAAAATACATATATGTCACGTGTCTAACTAATGGGTCACACTAACCTGCTCAAAGTTTGTTTCAGTACTGTCACGGTACTTTGCTCTTTGCATTAATAATGAAGGAAACTCACAGAGAACATACATTGGCTGCCATTGGGAGCCATTAATTATATTAATAGCAAACCCATGCATCTGAAAAAGTGGTGCATTTTTTGGTGCGTGTCAAAGCACCACGCAATTCCCTGTGGCTGCATTTATAATTAAGCGTTAAGACTTTTCCCTGTGTTTTCTGCAGGTACAGCAGCCCTATAAAATAAACGCACTGCTGTGCCTGTGCAATCCTGATATGCAGGACTCGCAGTAGTGTGAACCTAGCCTAAAAGTTTCTTTTAAATATTCAATAAATTTAGTTGGTCCCATTTTGTCCAATCTTGTTATCATTTGCTAGTGAAATTAATGAATACATACTGTACGTACAGACACATACAATGAAAACTCCAGCCTTGCCAAATAGTTACTCCATGAGAGGCATGTACATATACTGTATATATTTTTTTCACTCTTTATCCAATTATATATGATTGGTTTAATAACAGGATCACAGGTGAGCCCTATGATACTGTTGTCTGGTTGCCAGCAATCAGTTTGTGAAATCTATAAAGAAGAAAAGAAATTCATGAAAAGCAGAGGCATTTTAAAAGATGTATTCACAGCATATTCCCGGGAACCAGGACAAGCAAAGGTATGAAACAATAGGATATGATGGTTATGATTTACCACATATTCATTAGTTATTATCTGTCTTTATATCTTTGCTAATGTATTCCATTTCATCATATATACCAGCCTTTCTCGACCTTTTGAAAACAGAGGAACCCCTGAAATAACTTTCCAATCTGAGCGAGGGAACCTCTGTTAAAAATGACTTTATCTGCAACTCTTGATACATTAGATGGTCAGTGTGACGAATGCTCCTTACCCTTGTAGTCATTGGGAAGAATTCCCCCCTTACAGATTGATAAAAGGATCAATGGTGTCAGTTTGAACTTATCTGAGAGGCACACATTTCTCATTGCTCAAGAACTCCCTAGAAACCTGTGGAGGAACCCTAGTGTTCCATGGAACCCTGGTTGAGAAACCTTGATATATACAAACAAAAGGTCCAGTCCACCCTAACATTACATTAGTTAATTTAGCTGACTTAGCCCTGGCTTTTTCTAAACCTTGAATGTCCCTCTCCGCTATAATTACTGATCTGTTCTCATCATCCTGGGAGTATTGGGTGCTACCTCTTGCCACTGTTTTCTCCACAATTAGAAAATTAGAAAAAAAAATATATATAAAAAGTTCAACAGGGAGATCCAGACCCCTTGACATGGACAAAATGGACATGTAGACCCAGGAACTGGACTGACCCTTTATTACAGCTAGACTTAACATCCCAATATATCCACTTATTTTCTTACCAAGTCCATCATGGATTGCCTTTAAATTAATAACAGTGAAAAGAGCAATTCATAAGCAAAAATATTGTTATTCCTGTATTAGTTGAACTGAACTATCTGGTCACAGAGATCGTCGACAAACTCACATTGATTTGTGGCATAGGTACCCCCCTTCACTCCCATCTTGAAATGAGCAGCATTTTCTCCTTCTAGAGAGCCAGTGGGCAGTTCTGGTCAGGACCTGTTTTTAATCATTGGTTTCTTTAGAAACACAATTTCTGGTACCCTTTTTGAGAATTGCCTCTTTTACAGAGAAAGTTTCCTTATTTTCCTGGTCCTAGTTTGGCTTAGAATATTGTGATAATGTATGCATAACCTTATAAAAGTTCACTATTAGTACCCATGATGATTTAAAAAAAGTGTGGCCAAAAAATGTCCCATCTTTTGTAAATTGTAGTCCATTTTTGGTTTTAGGATTATGTCAGTAGATTACCTTTAGTGCTTGGCAAGAGTCTCGGTCATTAAGCAAGAATATTCTTCCACAAGCTGTCATTACAGATAGATTCTGATCTTTGCCAAGTGCCAGTAGAGACAAATACCACCAGTGGTCATAGCCGTATACTTTCTGATACACTGGTTCACAAGTCCAATAGGAGAATGTGTGATAGGTTGATGAACATTCCCAGACACTATTTATCCTGTAATTACATTGCAAATGAAAGGCCTTGTAGCACAGATTGAATTAACATTCTCATTTTGTTGCACATTGCTGTTATTTCCAAAACTTATGATTTATTAAAGATGTGTTTATTGTTAGACTTATGTACAGGATATTCTGAAGAAGCACCTTGCGGATGATGTGATCAGGATAATCTTCAGAGAAGAAGGACACATTTATGTGTGTGGAAGCATTGAAATGGCTAGAGATGTGGCCAAAACAATTAAATGGATTATTGTAATGCAGATGGGGCTGAATGAGGAGGAAGCAGAAAACTATTTTTCCCAGCTAAAGGTATACTACATTTTAATTGGTCATCTAAATAATTAATCACCTAAGTGACTATTTAATGAAAAGTAGTTAATGCAGGGTCTAATGCTGAATTATAGTCAAACAATAAAATGACAATGTGACCTGCTGATCCTGTCAGTAGAACCATTGGATAGGCGCTTCCTTTTATTGGATGACAATGCTTTTCTACTGCAGTGAAATCACTGCACCAATTTTACCCTTTCTGCTGCTGTAGTTGCTTAGATGACATCTTATCAGTAAATTGCAACATCTAGTTCTGCTCACAGACCTTAAGATTGACTGTACCTTGCTGTCAGCAAAATCTTAAGGAAAAATGTAAAAACCCTACTTTGACCTTTCCACCCCATCCAGCAATGTCCAGAAGGGTACAGAAATAGCTGCATTTACTGTTAAAAAAGCTAATTTTCTAACTCTATTTTTTACCTGGTGATCTAGCCAGTAAGTCTGTTGTTTTTCATAAGAACACACTCTCCTACAGATGTATCATTTTACAGGGATGAGCCAAACCATTTACCACTGGCAGGGGTGCTTACAATGATCAACATATTTAGTCATGTAAAACATTTATCCTAAAAGGTTAACTGTAACTGCTTATAAAGTGTGAGCTGGAATTTGGCTTTAATTTGTTAGTGTATCTAAGTCTGCTAGTACATCTAACATTACCCTCTCCCAGTCTGACAATGCTTCTGTCCAAATGTGCCCCCTGTGCTATTTCATCCAGAGTGGGGGCACTCTAATACAGGAGATGTGTTACTGAACAGATCACCAGGTGAAAACAGAAGGGAAAAAAGCCTAAAAAATAGGAAAATTAAATCTGTAATATATTACATTTTTGATTTTGGGTTTAGTACTGCTTTGCATGTTTTTACTTTCACAAGCCCAGATAAAGGGGGATGGTTGAATGACCCAAAATCCTTTGGCTGTCAATTCAACATCACATTGTTCTGTTTATCATCAATAGCCCATTCCATAATTACCCAGCTCATTATTATCAATGTCATCAGGAACTCTTTACCCATTCTATGCTATGACCTCGTCTGAGGAGGGACCACATACGGGCAAGCCGTTACTCCTCACGGGACCTTCCCAAAGTTTCACATCGCCTCCTGTTGTCTAACACTTCACAGGCAACTGCCCTACCAATGAGCATTTTCAAAACAACCCTTGGTCAGATTGGTTACACCAATCTCTTAAACCACTTCTGTGTTCTCTGGTACTTTAACCAATACCTCTGACCTGTCCAACAGTGCTCTGGAGTGCCTCTCATCCACAACACCAGTCGGAATCAATCCAGCAACGCATTGTGAAACAAACTTTCAACATTATCACAAAACATTGCATCACATAATTCCCATATTGGTTATCTTTGCTCAGTACAGCCTGTAGTATCAACCTTGAATTAGCAGTACCCCGTGATACGGGGTCTCCTTACCAAGGAGGAGACTGCAAGATATATGGGGGGTTGTACATTCCATGACTCTAGCATTTCTTTCAGCATGTCTGTCATCACAAGACATACTACACCCTTAATTTCTTTATGCATTGTGAGCAAAATGCCTCCTGTGCATTCGTGCTTACTCAGTCCTTCTGTCACAAGAGGGTTAACTTCTGCAGCAGCCAACGTGCCCTTGACTACTGACTACTCTGCAGACCCTCCTCCTGCCACAGGCAGCACTGCATCTGTCCAAGGAGAC